GCAAAACTCGATAATGCATCTTCCTGAAGCCGTGATTAGCTTTGACCTGTATGAAAACTTGCAATCTTTTAACAGCTTGCTACAGTAAAAAGTAGAAGTGGATTTTGATCTATTGCTTTTTCGATCAATCAGATAGTTGGCACTGCTACGGGTAGGGGAACGAAAGCCGCCAGTTTGAGTCGCCTTTCGCGGCTTACTGGTCCTTTCGCAACGTTGTTGCATGTCGTTCCAGGACCAGCAGTCCGCGCAGGCGACCGAAGCTGGCGGCTTTCGTTCCCCCTACCCCACTGCTACTCATCAAATCAGCAAAAACTATCGGAACTGAAGCTTATGACAAGTTCCCATACTGGAAGTGTGTTAACATGTCAGTTTCTCTTCCTTTGCCTTGCGCATGGTTTTGGTCCGCAAATGTTTACACTACTAGCACTCTTGCTGGTGAAGCTCATGCTGCATGATTGCCTCTATATTTTTATAGAAATTTTACGCAATTGACGGGTCTGTTTTGAATAAAGGGGACTGCGGTTGTAAGGGAAGATTGAACGGTGATTATGAATTCCGCAGTTATATCACCGCAATAAAGTTTTGTTCGCTATATAGTACATTATAATTTTGTAATCAGAGCGCACTCAACAAAGGCTAAACCTAGAGGAGACGGCCAACATCGAGGCATACGAGCTTTGGTCAGAGAGACCCCGCACATACTTCACGTTACTTCAGTCGAACGGATTTAGCAGTTTGCCGCATGTAACGCCCGCCCGCTTACCACATATGTACGGCGTGTAAAACCTTTTAAATAGATGATGCCCTGCTTTCTGTAAATTTAAAATGCGCTTTCGATAAGTTAAAAACAATTTGAGTACTCGCAAACCAAGTGGCCACCGAAATTGCCTAAATTACTCTCGGGCCATAGGTGCATTCGTGCTCGCTTTACGGAATTAACTACAAGTCTTCGTCCACTAGCTTTCGCCACAAGACGAAAGTCCTTAACAGACCGTTTATCGTAGTATTTATGGCATATAAATCCAGATAAGTGACCTCCGTTTCTGCTTCTGAAGACTGATTGTACACTTAGCGATTTTACCAATTTTATCGATTTTTGAAAACTTTACGCTAAGGGGCTGGTTGGTACAGGGGAATAAGTAAGGGCACTGATTATGAATAACAATCTACTTTATCGACTTGTCGATTTGAAAACTTGAGCTACAGAGGTGGGAGTTGCCACATATGGCTGAGGGTGCTGATATGTACGAATCGGCTTCACGATAATTATGTACGAATCGGCCCGGGTGTCCGCAAATCTTAGAGAAGGTGCTCCAGATATCCGGTAAATCATTCGAATATTTATTCGAAGTTCGACTTTTAATGTTCGAATATAATCGATAATCATTATTCGATGTTTTTGATTTTCGAAATTTATTCGAAATTCATTTCTTCCAAACTAAATTCTGAATTTACTCTATATTCGTTTGTTCAAAATTTTGTACTTTCGAAATTATTTGAAATTTTTTACCCGAGATATTTTATTTTCCAATTTATTCGATATTAATTCATTCGATGAAAAATTTCGAATTTTCCTAAGTATATACGACAGCAAACTTCTTTTGTTCAACATGAATACATTAAACCATAGTAAAAACACTTGAGGATAGACAGTATGAATTCCATATTTTTAGAATTTGAGAGTACGAGTCATTCTCTTGAGCTGCGCTCCTCTTCCTATAGGGCTTCATAGGTGTGCTAGCATCGCGGCGAATCAACGTTCGAGTCATTTGCAGCTCAAAAACAGTCAGAGCAAGATTGACGGTACCAAGACCGTAATGCCATATGAGATTGGACGCTTTCGGCCATCCTTGCGCAGGTGCGGAACCGTAGTGGTAGACTACAAATAAGAAGAATTCGGAGTTCGTGAAACTTAACTATGGAAAAGTTCCAACTGGCCTTCTTAATCAATAGCAGGGTACGCATGACGATACACTAATCATGCTCTTATAACGACTGTCTGTCTTAGTCTCGGCAAGAACTTCCATCCGTCCAAATTTATTAGATTGAAAACTAAGTTTTGCAATTATCTCAATAAATTCTTTATCAACATGGCGCACAAATTTTATTATTATGTAGATTATACGTAGGTTACAAAAACGGCTGCTCTCCTGCCAGATTCTGACGCCGCAGTGGAGGTAGGTACATGGTACAAGGGGAAATTACAAAATTTTGCAGTTTTGATGGTAACTTGGCTAAAGGTGTTATTCAACACGCTGATCACGAAGATGATACTAAAATTGCATAGTAAGGGGTTTTTGTAAGATTAATGTAAGTTTACGGTTCAAAGTCTCACCCCAGTCAAGAAGAAAGGCGGTGACACAATTGAATTTGATATTTGTGCTTGTCAGGTCAGCCAATCACAATATTCATCTCGGCGAATTTTGAGGACGACTCGTTAGTCATTGACGGTTGTCCTCAGCAACCTTGCTTACCACGATTCGTTTGATTATGTGGGGCGCCAAACCTTGACCTGCCTTCAAATTTCATTTCTTTCTTACTGACAAAGGAAAATGATCAGAAGTCGAAGTGGCTAGTCCAAGTCTGCTTACCGTTCGATGCAGCATTCAACGGTAATTCGAGTCCCTATTCCATATTTGCTCAGCGCCTTTGTGGACGAAATTATGAGCAGTTCCATAGCGAATAAATCGTACATAGAAATAGCGAAATCGATATTACTTTCAGCTCACATTTAGGCTTTAGGGATATAAAGTAACCCAGCTGCATGTTTTGGCGCAGCATTAAGCCGAACATGGCTATGTATTGCCAAACTTGCGTTTTGCATTTACGATTTCTTAGCAAAACGACCTTTAGCGGCTCATAACTTCGCCCAAGGCGCTAAGCAGATGCGGAATACAGTTCCAAAATTAGCTTTTTATGCTGCATCTGATGTTGTGCAGCTTGTTTGGATTGAGGCACTCTGATTTCTCACCATTCCTCGTGAGCTGAATCAGTCAACCATTAGTAGTAATTCACACGCAACTTTGGATCATTGTGAATGGTATAGGTTGCCAAGGCTTCATTTTGGCTTACAGCCTCAAAAATTCTCGGAGTTCAATTCCTTAATTTCTCGCCGAGACTTCGTATACTGGGGTCATCTGACCTGACGAACACGAACATCATATTCATTTGTAGAATCACCGCTACGGTCGCACTTACAGCCTTGTAGTAGAGAGTTCCTAGGATTTTTACGGTGATCCGATTTTTTCGATTTTGTGCATGCAGAACTTCTTAGATTCCCCTTCATAATCCACACGTAGTCGAATTGATACAAAAGTACGGAAGCCACTGTGAAATTGCTTTGCTCTACCTAATTGTGCCTCTCACACCCCTCAAGACTTTGCCTTGCTGCGCTACCATAACAAGCAATTTAAAAACCGCATTTTATTCTTCCAAATCAATCACCGCAACTATGATTGATGGGAACCATGTTCCTATCGTCTATAGCATTTGCAAGTGTCCCGCTGGGGGGTAGGGGAACGAAAGCCGCCAGTTTGAGCCGCCTTTCGCGGCTAACTGGTCCTTTCGCAACGTTGTTGCATGTCGTTCCAGGACCAGCAGTCCGCGCAGGCGACCGAAGCTGGCGGCTTTCGTTCCCCTACCCCCCGCTGGGCTGTCACTTTCCCATTTTGCTACCTTAGAAAGTTTGATTTCAGGAGCTATAGGTCGAAATGCATACATATTAGTTCCTAAAGAAAGTTTATGCTTCCTTCTTATGATTACCAACTAAATGCGTATGCTGATGCTTTGAGATGCGTTCTTAGTGCGCGATGGCGCGCTACCAAATGCGCTATTCGGCTTAAAGAGATAATTATAAACAAGGCTCAACTACTTTAAAAAGGAACGTAATGCGCTGCGCTCAGCTGCGAGAGGCACACTTTTCAGGTTATAGGCGGCAGAACTTGCAAAAGCTTATTTCAGACTTCCTTTTATATCATTGTATTGGGCAGATGAAGCGACCTTCGACTATCACTTGCTCTCAACCTGACTTTTTTCCGAAGAAAAGATAGCCCATAAATTTCAGCGTTCACAAAATCGAACTCTCCACCTATTCAAGCAAACAGCGCGCTTCTTGGAGAAGAACACCTATGCGATATCTTACTAGTAGTTCTAGGTTGTCAGCCACATGACTAAAGTATTGTTTTTGTCAGTACACCTGACCAAAATACCATTGATTGACTACCACTTATGATCAAAATATAGTTAAAACAAACTGGCATAACTTCTATCGGCAGAGCTTTCTTTACAACCTAATGTAGAGCTCCCTCTTTCCTCAGTCTTCAAATTCTGTTAATGTAAAGACTTTTTGGTGTGACTGCATAGCCGTTCACTGTCAAAAGCCAGGAACAGTCAAGACCCTTATGAGAAAGATACTGCTAAAGCCTTAATGGCTGGCCTTTTATCTCTATGTCTGTTTAAAGGCACCGTCCACCCAAAATGGGGTCTATGAGATTCTGATGGCTAGTAGTAGTGGGGCCCCCAACTGTGTACTTGCCCAACTCACGCTGCTAAAAGTTGCTTTCGAAGCAAAAAATTGCTTCGTAAATCGCTCAGATGACGGATTCGCCACGTTGGCTCCTCCCCCTTCAAGTGGGCGTGACGTTCATCCCGCCCATCCGTGTGCACCCAACCAATCACCGTTCCGGAAAACTCGCCATGCAAGTTCTGGAAACTAGGATTTTCGGGGGTTTTGCGGATTCTCGACTTGATATTCGGAATCAGGGATACGAGAAGGCCCCGTGACGGCAAAAACATAGAAGTCGAAAATTTGGGTGGACATTGCCTTTAAAGGCGAAAAAAAACTTTTGTTCCTTGAAACTTGCCATTCATAGGCCTTAATAGGACAAAAGTCGAAACCCCTCCAAACAGAAACTCTTCGATTGCCTGATAACGGTTATGGCAAGTTTCTAACAGTGCCACAGCATCTCAAACCGGCAATGATCATTTCTAGCTCGTCTACTTCAAATGTGGCAGTGTATACTCATATGTTATTCTATAGTGCAGCATTGTCTATGCTTCACTGTCGTTTTAACGCAGGTATATTGAAATCATACAATCAAATACAGCGACCTCGAAAAGCATTTCAGATTTTGTTGATATGTTGCAAAAGAAGAGAAAAAGAGGTCGGTTTTGAGAGGTTTTGCATATCTCCGATTAAGAGCGCTACGCATTTACAGAGTGCAGAACCAAGCCATATGCCGCTGCCACCAGATGCATCAAAGAGTGGGTTCAATGCTAACATAAGCGTAGAGGCCAGAGAAAGCAGAATGTCTAAAGGCACCGTCCTTTTAAAATCCATGTCCCTCATATCACTATGAAGTTCATTATGCCCCACCTCAGATAATCGCCGGGGGCAGGCGGCCATGCGAATTTTGAGCAAGCGCGCACCGGAAAAATAGTTCGTTGATTTTTTGTCGCCCGCTTGCAGAAATTTGGAAGAAAATTGGCAAAATTAACGACGAATGCTTGAAGAACAATCGCGGTTTCTTTATGGATTAGCTGCGGCGCAGTGGCCGCATTCTCGCGGACTTTCCGCGAGAATATGCAAAATTATTGAGAGCCGCACGGTCCTTTTTGAAGGACCGCACAGCCCTCAGGTACTTTCCGCTGAAAGAAAGTACCCCAAACTTGGGTAATAAAACCATCGATGGCACCTCTGTCACATAGAGTCTCATCTTTTCTCGGCGTACGCCCGAAACCGCGTAAAAAGAGTCCGAGCGCCTGCTGAAAGTTTGGCCAGCGCTCGCTGAAAGAGACTGTTTGACGAGCGCTTGCAGAAAATTTTGTATTGATGCCCGCTTGCAGAAAACGGAAATACCGCCCGCTGAAGATTTGGCCACGCCCCGAAATCCTGCTGACCGCCTGCAGAAAAGCGCGAGTTTGCGGACCGCCTGCCCCCGGCGATTATCTGAGCAGCGGTGGTGCGAGCTCCTAATCAATGCCCCTTACTCAGAGAATCGCTGAGGGCAGGCGGGCACCGGAAAAATAGATTGCTGATTTCTCGCACCCCGCTCGCGGATTTTTTGCAAAGCAATCAGGACTTTTCGGAAGACCGCTTGCTGAGTCAGCGAATTTTTGAGAGACCGCCCGTTGAATTTTTTTTTCGCTCTTATCTTTTGCAGATATATTGCTGAATCTCTGAGGAATCGAGAACTCAGCAAGCGGTCTTTCGAAAAGTCCTGATTGCTTTCCAAAAAATCCGCGAGCGGGTGCGAGAGATCAGCAATCTATTTTTCCGGTGCCCGCCTGCCCCCGGCGATTGTCTGAGTATGTGAAGAGAACGGAGACGCAGGTGGAAGATACGTTATCTCTTCCCCTTCCCTTCCGCCCTCAGTGACGGCTCAGGACATCTAGGGACTGGTCCCTGACGCATGCTGACAAGCACGCACATCGAATAGCATCATCTGACTTTCACTATTGCAGACGACTAAACTAGCTCTGAAGCAGTCGCTTACGCCTGTCGAAGTAGGATTTCGGAAAAGGGGATTTTCGGTGTTTTTACGTAATTTCCACCTCACCAATGCTTCACTTTTACTTCGCAGAGGTTCGCGGTTCTATCATGTCTATACCTTTCCCGCGCTTGCATTAGATGGCACTGAAAATTACCGAGCAATGCTAGCCATTACCAATGAATCTAAACAACTACTCATTCCGAAAGCTTTCAATGCACGATCGGTTACCTTGAGAGAAATAACATTTGTGCCAAGAAGAATAAACGCGATTTTGAGTACTTACCGATCTTTATGGCAGTAGTTGCGGTAATAACGATATTAACGTGAGCTATATCTCTGAGCAAAAACCCTCTCAAACTCACGTTCAACCCCTTTACAAATTGACCATCCACGCAACCTTTCCTTTTTTGTGGCGTTTCCACGAATTAATGTAATTTATGATTATGTTTATGCTCCATGCGAAGCACATCCTTAATTTTGCAAAAAGTTTAGATTAAGACCCAATCATGTGAACAAGCTGCATGATCCCACCTGGGGCACAGTTTGCGAAGGCACCACTCAGTATGGACCTATATGGTATTAAGGTGAGGTGTCCAAAATTCTAGCTCAAGAGCTTTACTGGAACCTGCCATATAAATTTCGTGACAGACAGAGTTTTAGGCCCGTATGCACGTACTCCCCGCGGGGAGGGGGAGGGGAGGGGATCTGAGAGGGGAAGCGTCATATCTCGCTAGTCTATACATCTTTCTCCTTCTTTCTCTCTCTTGCTTTTGAATGTTGTCACACACTGATACCTGCGCATAACGGATGCCAGATTACTGTCATACAAGATTAGATATCCAATATTTCTCCGATCCCCTGGGAATCCCCAGGAATCACCCCACTTTCCTGAAAACTCCATGAAAATGCTTTGAAATTGTACTGAGGATATACTACAGCACGCTAAACATGTTTATGGTAGAAATGAGTGAAATCTCTAGATATCAAAATCTTCGATGAACCGCTGCTCGCGAGCCAGGGAATACCGAAAATCAACTTCAGATTCCTTTTCTTCTGACGAAAACATGCTCAGCAGTATCGTACTATATCTTCAGTATAATTTTGAAGCGTTTTCACTGAGTTTTTAGGAAGATGAATGACTTTAAAAATGTGAGGTGATCCCCTGCGGATCCCCAAGGGATCAGACGAAATAGTGAATATCCAATCTTTATGGCAGTAACCTGGCATCCGTTATGCGCAAGTATCAGTGTATAAGAAACTTCATAAGCAAGATAGAGAAAGAAGAAGAAAGATATGTATACTAGCGAAATATGACGCTTCCCCTCTCAGATCCCCTCCCCTCACCGCGGGGAGGTACGTGCATACGGGCCTTAGACAGATAGATACACTTCTCACTTCTCTTCAATTCATTCGTTCAAATCACTTTCATTGCAAAGTGCTAAAAATCAATAAATCAATAGAACGGCCCAACAAATCGCCGCAAAAGTAGCCCATCATCCAGGTGTCGAAACATATGTGTGTAAAGTTTCAGTTAAATCGGTTGAGCGGCGCACGTTTCTATAACGCAAATAAACCCTCCAAACTGACAATTTTTGAGTTTTATCAATATAGAGACATCTACCTGGATCAGCGCTACATATCAAACGAAGGGTACCTTCCTAAGACTTGATAGATTTTGCGCTCATAACAGTGTGAACAGGAAACAGGTGCGTAGAATGGGTTAGATTGGTGAATTGCATAGTGCTTATTGTTAGATGTAGGCCGAGCAAAGCGGATTTGCCATCAGTCCAGTCCAGTGATATGCGTTACATTTTTGATTGCTATATCACAAATATCGTTTGTTGTTTGAGTTGCATACTACATGGGGACCTTCACTATGATAATTCGACCAAATTTTTGTTTGAATATTCGACATAACCGACTCAAAAAAATTTGTTTATTCGAGATTCTTTCCTGAATAAGTTCAATTATTCGAAATTTTTTTATTTCGAAAACATACGATATTCGATTATTCGATACTTTTGACTTTGGAAAATATGGTACTCGGATACACAAAATTTTATTGCTTTCGAAAAATATTCGAAATTCGATTATTGAAAAAAATTTTGAATATTCCAAAGTATAATCCACAGGTAGAGAGGCCCGCTCCAAGGCCTAAGTTTCCCAACTTTCCGACCATTTTTCTTGCCTCAGTTCGACCTCGCACGTCGCGATACCGTGTCCGACGGTGCCCACTTCCTTATGGCACTAAAATCCTGACCCCAACCTGTCCAAATACTGCCGTAGAGCCCACATTCAGGGTCCGACCGCCGGCAGAAGCCCAACTGCCGGCCAATATGTCTGTGGATTATATGTCGCGCCGAAAGTGCTCTCGCGAAAACATAGCTACAAATGCGCATTTCTTATAACCCAAATCGGATCGCGACAGGCTGCACTTATCTCACATAAACCCTTTGTTCAAAATCAAACTTTCCTTCTATATATAGAATTCTGTATTTCAGTCTTAGAGAGTAGCTCAATTTTCCTTGTCACGATCTAGCGTTCAGCTCAAGAAAGTGGCACTCCCAGCGATGGAACCAAAGAGTCGGCGACAAAGCTCAGCAAAGAAGCTCCCACCCAACTTGGGACAGATACTACAAAAAGCAAGGAGACTATTACTGTCAAGACGGAAGAGGGATATGATGTTAACAAGATCAAACATTTTGTCGAGGAAAGACGAAAGGATAGCACTAAAACAGACGTAAGTGGACTATGATCGAACCAAGCATTCTACCCAAATGTGGGCTGGAGGAGGGTTAAGCGTGGGGTGTGGCATGCCACACCTGGGGGTTGCACTGAGGAGTCGGGGAGGGGGGAGGGTGGTGAGCTGATGTTAGCGATAACATGATATTCTTAACAATGTCAGATAGGCACTGTGTAAAATACTAGCACATCGGTGTTTTCCTACCATCGTATACGCATACTAAGCGTAATAAAAGAGCCTTGTAAGCATGAGAGCGTCATTTTCGTAACTAGAATCTCGATTGACTCCTGTGGGTCAAGTTTAACACATTGACGACAAGGCCGATTTTTCGATTACTGCCATTTCGGACAGGCCTTTTTTGCTCTGCCAAACTTACGACCCACCCGTGGGTCGTATTGTCCGAAATGGTAGTCTTTTTGTAAGAAAATTAGAACATGTCTCCGAGAATTTCCCCACAAGGGTTATCGAACGCGCTGATTACCAAAATATGATTTATTTCAGTTTTTGGCGTTATACGGTAAGGTTACGGTAGTTATTCTGTACGAACCCAACATCATGGATTTTCATGAAAATTTGTGTATTGGGGCTATTTCAAGTGCTGATCACGATTATAGTGTCCATTTGTTCACTACAGTCTCGCGGTGAGACTACGGTAGCCATACGGTAGAGTTTTCGTAGAAATCAAGAAACTGGTGCTAGAAGGTGGTATCAAAACTTGAGACTATTATTTTCGTAATCAGCATGCTACAAAACCTATATATGCAAAGTTCGAGCTTCCTAGGACAAAAAATGCAAAAAATCGATAAAATCGATAATTTTTTTGGTGGATTAACGTCAGCCTCTCGCCCGCCCCGTATTACTCTTAGATGTAAACTTGATTCTCCAGAAACAGCATAATTTTACGAAGAATTTGAGCTAAAACTTGTGCCTTATAGATGTCTACCGTATACCAACCGTAACATTACATTACAGTATTCCGAGCCCGGACCACTTTGGCTGGAGCTTCATCTAAGTGCCCCCGATTATGTGCCAGAACCCTGTTGAATTCCGTCGTAAACTGGCAAAGATGGCGCTTCATGAATCTTACGACTCACCGGTGGGTCGTATTGTCCGAAATGGCAGGACACGTACGACCCACCGGTGGTCGTATTGTCGTCAATGTGTTAAGCGAATTCTTAGGTTTACAAATGTTGGGCTACTCAAGTGGGTCATTTTCGATCAAGTTATTATCAAAGGTGAGTTAACTAAAGGCTACTGCATGATGAAGGCGCAAAAGCATTATCATTTAAGCGGGCGCGAGCGCGACGTGCGCGTATCCTCACCGTTGTAAATTCTGCGCCTCATGCGCTCTATGGCTAAAAAAGCCGCGTTCGCGCCCGACGATATTGCGCCTTCGTCATGCAGCGGCCTATACTTCCTTCTGTACTTAATACAAAGAACTACCACTTTTTTGCTCACATTAGGAATTATAACTTCGAATAACATACAAACTATGAAATTACGAGCAAGCCAAAATCTCAGTTGTTTCGATTTTTCCAATGTCTCAGATTAGAGAGAACCAGTCAGGCTCAAACCACTTCCATGTAAATTATGAGGCTTAGTTCATCAAATATGTTTATCCTTGTCGCCTTCCTTCGCAATTTACATAGTAGCGCAGACTAGGCATGTTACCGTAACCCAATATTTTCGAAGTATTTTCCGTTAGCATAGGTAAGGAAAAACGTTTATATCTATCCCTAGAAAAAACGTTTTTAAATGATTTTTCTACTAGTAAAGAAGAAGGTTGAGCAACACAATAATATAAAAAACGCAGAGATTTGAATGGTTTGAAGGCAGACTAATGGGATGTGGCACAACCCCTATAAAGCTGTGGCCGCCAAGCTTTTTAGGGGTTGTGCCACACCCCAATAGCTTACCTCCCAGAGAAATTTCAGGAAACAAGTAAGGTACAGTTCGATAGCAAAAATTTCGCAGTTTGTAGAAATGATTAGAGCTGAATTCGAATTGTTTCGTCTGAGCAGTAGTTGCTGGAAGCACAACCACTGCAAGCGAAAAATGGGACAAACGAGGCTGGCTGGCTCTTAATCCTATAGTTTGATCATTTTTTGAAGCAGGATTTATAGTATAGGCAAATAAAGAGTAGCGTTTCGTATGGAGTACAAGAAGAGGTAGCTGATTTGCATTTGAAATATAGTCATCAATTGGGTTTGAAAATGGCCACTACACTTTGCCCCAATATTGAGAAACTCCAGAATTCGCTAAAACTTGGCCCACAAGGATTATCTGACATGCTAGTCACAAATGTGTTAATAATTATGTTAGGTAAAGCCTTTATGTCATGACTACAGCAGGCAAACGACAATGGGAGGGAGGGGGGTCGTATCCATCGGTTGTGTGCCACACCTTTTGGGATGCAGTGCAGGAGGAACCAAAGACCTGCCGCCTGTAGCCATGGGAGATAATTAAGAGCGCGAGCGCTGTGGAGAAGATTTGGGCAAGGATCCAGGAAAACTTGGCGAGAACATCCATTAGAAACGAACTCTTATTACTTTTCTTGGAATTAACTCTCAAGGACAAGGGACAGATTTGGAATCAGTATTGAAATGAGCATTTTTCAGTAATGGGCCTACCGGATAGATAAACTACTCTGTTCACTACTCGAAATCTATTTTTACCAAAAACTGAACCTTCAAAATTCACAGCTAAAAGAGCTGAAGATTCAAGTCCAATGCTGTGAAGACTTAAGTGAACTTTTTAGTGAAATTTATGGATTGAAGTTGAAAGTAGGGAGTGCTGACGTGTGATAAACTTTTTCTATCGTGTACAACCTCGAGGGGGTTACCGACATGGTTCCCAATCCAAATCCTTTGAAATCTCTAGCGTCAAAATTTGAAATTAGAATAGGTTTGAAGTTATGAGACAAACTGCATATTGCATCTTGACACAAACCTCCAGATGTGTTTTTATGACAATTGATTGCTTTGGTTCATTGATTCAAAAAGCAAACTATTCCCTTATCCAAAGAAAAAAGAATGAACTTTGAATGAAAATCCCGGTCTTCAACAATCTATAAATTCATTCATATGAACAAGAAGTCCCCACAAGAAAGTTGACCCAGTACATGCGCCTTCCAATTTGCATTTAGAATCTGTTTTTCAAGTTTTTTAAGGTCATCTCCAGGCAAAGTTATGAAGATTGGTTCCTAAGCGATATCCTTGCCAAGTTTTCTTGGATCCTCGCCAAAATATTCTCCAAAACGCTCGCGTTCTTAATTATCTCCTGCGGATACAGGCGGCAACCCTTTGGTTCCTCCTGCACCACCCCCACATCTCTTGCTCGACCCTGGTTGGAGGCCAAATGAGGGGGCTTCTGCATCACAAGCAATGGGTCGGCAAATCGCGACTCAAAATATTCGTGCTTAGGTGGGGTTATCCAAGGTGCTGATGCCGAAATTTACTTTAGTGTTGTTTCGTATTTGCTGTACTGACCGCAGCTTACCAAAGACCGCAGCATGTTCACTTGAAAAGATAGAACGACCTCGAATACGATCGAAACACTTTGTGTGACGCCTAAAAAGATCATAAGTCCTGACATCAAATCTTTTCAGTCATATTTTTCGTTCTTCTTACGTGAAAGTCTGCGGTCGCGGTCAGTACGGCTTAGTTGCGGTCAGTGCGGCGTTCGAAACAACCCTTACCGAGCGCGAAAATGGCGAGTACAAGCAGTTTCCAAGGCCCGTGACTTCGACGGATGAGTGAGACATTCCCGCCATGTTTGCAGGCGCAGAGTTGCGGTCCCTTATGGCTATAACTTTGCGGCATGTCGCCTGAGGGAAACTGCGCACTACTCCGAGCGCCACAGAACTGGCTAGGGCGCACAAGTTCGCGAGCAAATTTTTCGGCAGCGGAGGCAATACGACCGGATTTGCCTCTCTTCTGTACTTGGGGGAGGAGGGGGGGGTAAGCGAACCTACCACATCAAAATTTCAAAATGCTTAGTTTTGCCGAGCCACTGCCTCTGATGCTCTATGACGTCCAGAGTTGCCTACGTATGGCGCCGTGCACGCGCTCTGATCGATTAACGTTCCGGCAGCGGCTGGAACCTCGCTGGCACCGCAACTCTGTACGCAACATGACTAAGCGCGAAAGGTCACATTTTTACCCTTCATGACAACGAGCAGGAAAAACCCACTACGCAGTTTGCAGTAAGTGAACTGCGATGATCGAGGGAAGACTGAATGTTAGTTTGCTGATGCCTTCGCTCGCTTATACTTTATTTTGCAGTTACGATCAGTGCAAGACTTGGTATTCCAGTATAACCCGAAACATCCATTAGGCTCACTTCCACCACCCTCTAGTCCAAAAGGGAGTCAGAAGGTGAAAGAGTTGGTGAGTTTGAAGATGACTGTAGAAACGTTATAAACCAATGGCCAATGGGAGATTGGTTGCAGAAATCAGCAGTTCTGCGGATTCCTACGAAACAGTGAAAATGTATTCTTTTAGGCGCTAGAGCGAACGCAAGTCACTTCTTTGGAAAAGGAAGACGACCGTGAATTATCCGTTATAGTACCTACAACCTCCTTTGTAAGCGACTTAGTTGTCTTTTCAATGAGTAGGATACGAAAGCTTTCTTGCAGTTGGGTCCACCAAGTGCTAAAGGTTCTCTACCAACACTGTCTGTTTATGATCCACTGGGTTTGATACCGGTAAGTTCAGAGATTACGATCTGGTAGGTCGGCAAAATGTAAATACCAGTTAACAAAACAAACTTTCCAGCCACATCCTTCACAACCGCCGCCAGTGCCATCGCCGGTTTCGCCGCCACCAGCCTTACCGTCGTTAACAGGGGTTCCAGACAAAGAGAAAACGAAGTCACAACAGCCTTCACTGAGTACTCCGCCAACGCAAGCTCCGAACAAAGAGACGGCATCAAAATCGTCACAAATTTCACTCAGCCCTATGCCAAATTCACAAGTGCACTCGAAGCCTATGGATAAAGGAGCTGCATCGACACCGGCATCATTGAGTATCAAGCCGACTCCTCCAGCGACTCCACAGCCAAGGGCACGTCTGACGCCAAATACATCGGTAATTAGCTACGACAGTACGGGCTAAATAATTTTCCACTTGGTGCAGTGTGCTTGCGGTACCTAGATTGGGCGACCAGATTTGCGCGTGAACAAATAGCCATGCCAGCAATGACTGCACTTTGCGCGCAGATGGCCGATGTTATAGGCGTAGCTATTTGTTTACATGCAAATTAGATTGCCCAGTCTCGGTACACAGGCAACTATCTTAAGCCGCATCTAGTGGACTGACTATATGCATGCGGTGTAATCGGATGGCCTCCAAAAATGATAGCTTTGAAAGATTCAACGCATACAGCCTGCGGCTCTATGGATTCCTACCCGATAATGCCAAGCATGTATTCGCACACGATATTTGGCCAAACATGACCGAATAGTGCACATTTTCAGTCTTTCAGTAACAACGATTTCTTTACGCGGAAAAGTTGTCATCACAGAGGCATCATATCAATGAAAATCTTGAGTTAATTCATGGTTGCTGAATCGGAATGGTCCATTTGATGTGTATGATCTATATAAGGCCGGGCATACTTCACGCGATTTAGCAATTCGCCAGAAGTCTTTAGATCCAACACTAGCAAACTGCACATGCACAGTGTGTAGAACTTACGTGGAATGATAAATACTCTATCCTCTGTACAATTAGAATGTGCTTACAATGGGTTATGGACAGTTGGAATACTGTCAGGTCGCGTCGCGACTGAAATCGCCTGAAGTATGCTCGGCCCTTATGACGCGCATGTGGAAAATAACTTCACCGAACGAGAGTTGGATTTACTTTCGTACTTCCACGATTGAGATTCGGCCGCACTACGGTCCTGTTACAAAACATGCGTGAAGCACCGCGACAGCCCATAATCAGTGACATTCTTGACCGATTGCTCGGTCAAGAATCTATCCCATCGATCCCTGTGCATGAGGACAATTTTATATCGCTTCCCGTCCAGTTTTTTGCCCGCTGTTTTTCCAAAAATCGCATTGAAAATACGGCACTCCAGCGTCAACTTTTTCTCTGAATTTTTCATCTTTGTGTTATAAAATTATGACGCGTTCCATAGTTTTCCCGATCTCAAGGATTACTGTACTCAACTAACTCATCACCTAAGTCCGGACATTCGGCCGCATGAACCAGACGATGGGAGAGGATGAAAAGTTTATCATAGAAGCAATAGATGCATAGCACACATAAGCTAATAGGCAAGCGACTACATGCGATAAGGAAAAACTATCTACTAGCTAAGCTGCATGGCATCGAGAGAATCTTGGCGGTGGCTCCTCCTCCGAGTCGAGTCGTCGTAAATCTTCGGCGGCGGCTCTGTTGTGGGCCGTCGCTTTTCCTACATTTGGTTCTGCTTCTATTGTCGCCGTGCCTTGCTGGATTAATGTTGTCCTGGTCTATTATCTTGCTGTCCTTGATTTGTGCTTCATTTCTTGATGTAGCGTTTCGAGTAAGGATAGGACTAATAAGGATGTGCAACAGATGGTGCCCAACTAAGGTATCCACAGGAATCTGGAAGCAGAAAATATTTCAAAGGACGGGCTGGGCAAATTCTCGACTTGGAAGTTTCATTTACGTGAAGTTAATCGATGCACTGACAGCTGGATGACAGTGTCAGCCGCGCCCCTTTTTCTCAGTCCCGCATCACGCGAGTCCGGTACTAAAGGGGCCTCGGCTGAACTGTCCGGCTCCGACTCCACTCAGGGGATCCACAAAACACTTTAATCTAAATTATTTTACTACTCAAAAATTACAAGACAAAATATGGTACTTCAAAAACTCTGGATGAAGAGGTCCTTAAGGGGCCTCAAGAGAAACTTACAGAGAAAAGAAAATGGAAAATCTAAAGCATAGATCCGCCGTCCGATCCGCTCATGGCCCGACGGCCAGGTTATTTATACGGACTAAAACAATAGCAAGCCCTCAGCCGAACAATACCGAAACAATAGAACATTATCCACAGAGGCACATCATTAGACAAATTAAAATCTAAATTTGGCGATCAAGCTCGATGATGTACTTTCCGAGCACTTCGGCAGTTACATTTGCAGAGTAAAACAAATCCAGTTTCCATTGCATCCATATTGCCGCATACGTCCTGCCATTCTTCTTCCATGTATTGATGGATCTTACAACAGGGACGAAGTGAAGTACAGCAAAGGTTGAAGTAAAATTCTCAATTTTTAGTGGAATCAAAGGGAATTTTGCTTCAAAGGACTCTAGAAACCGATTCATACCGGGCCCTGCTTGAAGCCCATCTTTTCACTGTATAAAGATTTCGTTTGTAGCGACATCACACCAAAGCTCGATCATCTTTCTGTGAGTACAATGGCGAGCAGACCAGTCGATGCGCAGTCTAAGGGCAGTGATCCGCCAAAACGTAGCTCTAACCACGCCCCCGATTTATCCGCTGAATCCTGAAAACACGCTTCAGAACCCCACCACGACGTCTTTTCAGATTTTAGCGCATGAATTTGAAAGGAGTAGGGTGAAGCCATGATGCACTGAAAAGTATACTGCCTAACACCCAAATTTTAACAGAGATCGATCTTCGACCATTTCCATGATGCTTCATATTGTTCACATGCGTTCTAAAACTCGCTTGATATGTCGACTGCACTAGTCGGTTTCCACTCTTTTTTTTACAGCTGGCATACCTCCTACTCCGTGCCTGCTGGTACTATTCCTTCCTTTACTTTCTGGGGTAGAGTTGATGATGCGACTTGCATCTTTCGGTGATGTTCTCCGGTTTTCTCAGCGGCCTACAGTGTACTTTATGTGGTAAAAGAGTACTTTTCCGTTACCGGGACCCATTTTTTCAGGAGGCTTTCATAAAACATGTTCTCTAGTCTAAGAACATTTTTTCGTAAATTCTACAGGACTGCCTCCCCGCCAAGTGTCAAGAAAAAATGTTCGATGTTTAGCCTATTTTTGACGTGTTTTTTTTTCGAAATCATATCCGGTGAGGTAAAGAGTATTTGTTATCACTTAAAAGCTGTTTTTGTTTCCAATAAGAGCAAAACAATTATGAACTTATTCTAAGACTTCTTGCTTGCTTTCAGCATTAATTTTCAAAAAATGTCTTTCTCTCCAACCCTTTCGCCATGCGAATTTAGCCAGAAAAAACCATAAATGATAGCTTGAAATACCTTGCTGCTAATTATTTCGCCTCTTAAATGATGGAATTCTAGCGCATATTTTGAGCAAGTCTGATCTGTTCATCGATAATAGTTTGTCGTTGTCATGTCGAGACGCAGACTAATTAGATGGTCCGACAGTCCCCACGCGAACTGGGCGGTGCCCAGCAACTCCAGATGAGGTGCCTAACCGGGTGACCGGCGGTTACCCTTCCCTCCTTATCATATAAGTATATAATAAAGATTCTAGTCATAAATGTTATGTTCGTGTAAAGTAAGACAATGAGGGTGAAGGATTCAAGTCAGGAGAGTGCACCTCCTGGACTTGACATGGAGGTCCCGTGGTGTAGAGGTCAGCACTCAGCCGCTCCCTTTTTATGAGCCTTTTCCCCCTGTCCACATGCATTCGAAGCGAATCAAGCGACTGAGTAATGATACGATCAACAGCACTTTTCCTGCCCGCAGTCCGGACAACAAATGGTAAATGGGCAACCTTGATGACGATTATGGTAGCAGCAGCACCCTTCTCCTCTCAAACGGAAGAGTGATGAAACAAATGGTACATGGGCAGCTTTGATGACGACAATATCCCCACTTCTAAGCCATGGTCAAGGATGAAAGCTCGGGACGAGCTTTACTATGGAATGGACATGTCGAGACGCAGACTAATTAGATGGCCCGACAGTCCCCACGCCAACTGGGCGGTGCCCAGCAACTCCAGATGAGGTGCCTAACCGGGTGACCGGCGGTTACCCTCCCCTCCTTATCATATAAGTATATAATAAAGATTTTAGTCATAAATGTTATGTTCATGTAAAGTAAGACAATCAGAGTGAAGGATTCAAGTCAGGAGAGTGCACCGCCTGGACTTGACAGTCATTATGGCAATCTTCACTTTGGAACTTTTTGATCGAAATGAGGTCAAATTGACCAATAACACCTTGAACTCACTCGCGTAGATAACACAACTCTTGGTAAAACCTGTTGTACATGTAGATGACATGCCAAATTTTTTTGACACGTGGCAGAAGATTGACACTCCTCCTGTGAAGCTGAGACCAAATATGTTACAAGGATAGAAGCAATATCCTTCTCTGAAAAAATGGGTCCGACAACGGAAAAGTACCGGAAAAAGTTCTCCATATCTTTCGTGAGCTCCGCTCCGCTGTTTCTGCTAATCCGTATCTCCCGCGTTCTCCCTCGCGCCAGTCGTAAAACTCTCATGTGCACTGCTCTGCCTTCCTTACAATAGCCATCGCAGCGTGTTTGGCTTGTTGGTATGTCTGGCAATCTTTCTCCGAGTTCGTATTATGCCATAGCGTATACGCATTCCTTTTCTTCTCGACTCTTTGCACTTCGTCATTCCACCACCATGTTTGATTGATCATGCTTCTTCATGCCTTCTTTCCTCCAATCATAAGTCTCACCCGGTAAACCCAATCTTTCAAGCTTGCTCAGGATCACTCTGGGTTCTATTGCAGGACTGGGAGACTTGTTAGTAGTGTTTGCTTCGCCGCGCCTCTGGTCATTGACCTCCACATTTGATGCTTGTCCTGGTCTCTGCGGCTCTCTCGTTGCACCCATCCATTCAGAATCTGATGTTGAGAAGAATCTACATAATATAGCTCTTGCCAAAAAAGGTCATGCTGTTGAATAGCCCAGAAGCCTATGCGTTCGTCGCTTGCCACTTATAAACGTGATGAGTAGTGGCGTACCCAAAATTTCCGTTCGGAGGAGGAGGGAAGGGGGAGAAGGGAATTCAAGGATGCTTCTCAGAATTTTTGCGGGCCCAAACCCCACTACAAAAAGTTTTACAAGGTCTATTCGAATTTTTGAGAATTTCCAAAAATTATATTGAACTTCTATAACTATAAAAAGTCGCTTGCACATTTTCATAATGCTGAAGGAAATCAGAATGCACCAAACTTTTTCATTGTTCCGTGTCCGCGGCCTCCGTGACGTTTTGCGGTTCCATTTACCCTTCCCACCACATGTGTTAGTGTCCGCTCCTAACAGGACTGTCTCACTCAGTGAATTCAAACTAATGTGGTCATCAAGCTTCTGCCAAAACGAGTTCTTTTTATAATCCTCACGTTCGACATGTGGCGCGTGGTCGGTGAGTACTGGTACTATTTCCCAGTATCTATCTTTTATTCATTAGATGACCGCTTACGCGCTCAACGTCAACTATACTGCTCCTTAAAGTCACCGAGACCCTTCAACTTCGTTTCCGGTGCAGGCCTCGTAAGGAAGCTTTTATCCATTTTTGATGCCGCTTAACTTTCCCGCTCCTCTTTGTTTTACGTATGCAAGCTATATGGACTCGCTGTCTCTACAAAGGTCTGCTAGCTCTCGAGATGAGAGGTGAGCGTATCCCTAGTGTCTATAGCAAACGGAGAGTTCGCGATGCGTAGGTCCTTGCTTCTGGTAAATCAGCCACTTTAGCCGTCCCCATCATCTTGCTGAGACGGTAGCCCTCACCCACTATTTGCATTCGTCGGGCTTGAACGCAGACGCTTCCGGGGAACCCCTTTCTACTCATAATACTGAGACAACATATATAAAATGTAAATGCAACGGGGTGTTTCGCAAACGTCTTGTCGCATGCCCTGCAATAGAAGGATAGCGACTTTCGTAAGCAGAATTTTTATTGCAGAAGTAGGCGCGGGATGGAGTCGAACCCATGAACCTCGAATTTGTCAGCTAGCGCATCACAATGAAGCAGTCGTCAGTACTATCCCTCCTAATCTTCATTGTTACCATTCTGTTCGTGGAATTCCAAAACTGGGAGTTGAAAACAATTCCTTTACATCGTGTGCATATAATAGTATGCCACTTTCTACGGTGAAAAAAGAATTCAACCTTTGCATTTCAGACAGAGAAACAGCCACCAAACGATGCAGAACCGGCGAAAAAATAGCAGAACACACTCCAGAAACATGTCATACTTCAAAAGCTTACTAAACACTTTTTCTACATCCTTCAAAAGTGTCCTATTTCAATAAAGTTTTGTAAGGGTTATTGCAATATACGACTGAAGAAATCAAAATAGCAAAAAATTTATTTCATTAAAACGGACAAGTAAAAGAGACATCGGAGAAATCACAATCTACTATCATCGGTATACACCTGTAAAACATCTCAAAATATCATTGCATAGATAAAAACCATCAACAACCACCCCAATTACCACAAAACTATTATGGACTTTATTTACAAATCTGGACGATAAGAGCACGTATGGAAACACGAGAAATAAGCACGGATAATCAAAACGTATAAAAGTATGCGCGTGAGGATAAAAGTTTTTCTATTAGGACTACCAGTGATTCTAGATACATAATGAACAATGCATAGGGGAGGCATGAAGGGGTGGCATCACTCTGCTCTTGCCAAAATTGGAAGAATTTAAAAAAGCAATACTGGGTATAAGCGCTGTAAATGAGAAAACTTGGCAAATGAAAGTCTATGAGTAAGCACGTGATGCAGTACAATTTTCAGAAATCACATTGAGCGTTGTGTACACATCTTTTGTCATAAGCATTCATACCGCAATCACATGAATTGTGCTTTTACGTAAAAGTAAGACCATAAGCTGACAAAGCAGAACGACATTTTGGAAGAAAGTAGATAATCGAGAAAAAATAAATTATTGATGATTCGCACAAACAAAGAACAACTTTACGTTGGTCTGATCTTGCCTGGAACATAGTTTCTATCGATCATTGGTTCTTGCAAGAAAATGTGCAGTGAACGTTCATTCTGTGCAAGTGGATGCCCCGCAACCCTGAAAAAGCGCAACTTTGGTACAAAAACTGAGCTCGACTAGACCAATTGCTAGCCAATTCAAGACTGATGGAGAAATCAACCAATGCTCTCACTTGTTGATGAAAACTTCGAGTCCTTTCCTGCGGTTTTCAATGAAATCTTCCTCGAAAATACCATCATCAGAGCGGAATGGAAGTTGCCTCTTTAGTGATTTCGAAGGCAACGGCGGAACGACAATCTTAAAGAGGCAAATCTGTAACTAGGGAACATTCCAAACATTCCATATATCACAAAGATGCTATTACCACTGCTTAGGACTTTGAATTCGAAAGTATTTTAGGACACATCAAGTTCATAAAACAAAGACATCAAAGATCTAGCTCCCAATATGAACTTTTCATGCAGATTCACACAGTCTAACGCACACGATATGTCAAACTGTGTATAAACATTGCGATTGATTTCATAGTGCAAGAGTAGAGCGATGACTCAAATTACTCCGATCACATGAACACGTCATCAGACGCTATTATTCAAATAAAAAATGGTGTAGGGCATGCTCCAAAAATCAACAAAGAACTTTTGAGCCCCAACCAAATAGATTTCTACACTGCATGTGTGCTGTGTTTGTCGAAGCTAAAAAATATGCTGGATCTTACCTTACTGTCTCTCTCTAGCTCTCCACGAAGCCAATCGAAGTCGCTGTATCGACGTCGCACACTTGACTCCTTTTGTTTGAAAACTGGCAGATTGGACTGGAAAGTACAGAACTAAGAAGGAGATTACTTATACTTAGCTCATGAGTTCATAAACTCATTTAGTGGCTGAGAAGTAACAAAAGAGAACGTAAAAAAATTATGTGATCAATGATTTTTCAACGACAAAGATGCAAACATTTACAGCGCTGTCCCTTGCAAACAGCTGTAGAACTGCTGTCCTTCGAGGGACTCACAGATTCTTGGCAGAAACTTTGGCGGAGCTTATGTACTTCTTTGAAATCTACAAATACTTTCCCTTGTGCTTGTGATGATAAACACTCCGCTAAAGTCAGCAAAAACTTTTGTCGACAATTACGGATAAGAAGTACACCCCAAGTACATCAATGTAAATAAATGGTATGCATAATGTATAAGAAAAAAGGGTAAACCATCCGACTTCTAGCTACTATCAACTTCTTTTCCGCTGATCGTCACTGACATTTGCGTTCAACCCCCAGTTAGCTTGAATGAGAAGCAGGATTGCGTGCACTAATGTTGGACGCAGACCAGTTTCTCATCGACTTATGTCATCAAAAACTAACAGATGACAAATCTTCCCAACACACTGATTGAACATGAACAGTACTAAAAATCGATAATGCAACTGACTCACCCTCAGTCTGATTTCATAGTCAGTGTAGCGCATTTTTCCCACTCCATGAGTAATCGGATTCACCACTTCTATTTCGAGAAAATTCGCCGGTGGTGCATACGCTTCGTCAAGAGTCTGACGCTTCGGCTGAAGACGCTGCGTTGCACTGGTTGCGCCACTCATTTCTGCAGATGGTTTTTCAGTTTAGTTCAACAGAACGCTCACTCATCGCGGTGATGCAAGAGAATAGCAACGTTTTCGATGTTGAAAGAGACGGAGGAAATGGATGAGATTAAAGATAATTCTAGCAAGGCTGCGGAAAAATTTTATTGGGAGCATCGATTTGGAAAGGGCATTGTCGACCTGATTCGGCCTGGTGAATACAAATTTTGGACGACTCACTAGTACCAAAAGCTAGCAATTAAACGTCATACAAATCAACAGAATCTTTATGATTGAGCCATGCGTAAGAATTACCTCTTCGAACTCACAAAGGAAGGCCTTTAAAATAGAATGGCCTTTCCATACTCCGATACCACTTTGAAGATCATTTGACAATGATTTCAAATCTGCTTTCCTTTTTTGCGGAACAACTATCTGAAAGAAGTTGCGAGCGTAGGAAGTTGCGAGCGTCTGTGTCCAAATTTGTCAAGCTCTAAGTATCATACAATTAACGAAAACCTTTACAAAAACACCTGAAAATGGGCAAAAAATTTTGTACCCAGTATATTCACTACGAGGAAGAAATACAGCTGGAAGTCCGCGAGGTAATGTAGAGCTTTTCGCTAATTTTATGCCGTTAGATTGACAAGTTCGGACATACGAGTGCTTATAACTTCTTTTTGAAAGTTGTTTCACAAAAAAAGGAAAGCAGATTTGAAGTCACCGTTTGATGCTTTGCCGAGTAACACAGAAGTCATTTGAAAAGGCCACTTCAAATGGGCTTCGCTTGAGTGTCTGCTTGGACGGAATGGAATATATGTTTTCAACAAAGATAAATATCAGTCCGTTGGTAAAGGTTAATGCAAATAAATTTATACATTCTAAAAAAGGCCTCGTGACCGGATCAAAAAGAAACGCGAAGAATGCACTACTGACGGAACCTGATAAGAACGATAATCGCGACAATGTACTGTTTCTGGTGACTACACGAAAAAAGTTCAGAGCGGGTATGTAAGCATAATTTAGCAGGTTTGAAAGTCAATAACGTTCAAAATAATGCACCTGCTGTAACTGCAGCATTTGAGCGAGAACGAATGCTGTGCTTGTAAATGCCATAAACTTGCTTGTAACTTGCGCGTAAAAAATGACCATGAAGTGCACATTGTCACAGTTTACGAGCAAATGCTGTTAGCGTTGCAAGAACACTATATTAACGAAATCTACTAGTCTAAGGACTAGTCTGTTTGAATGCGTAATCATGTCATATCCTAAACAAACCAAAAAACAAATGCTGACTCTAATACCTGCCATATGTGGATGTCTGACTGACTGATAAAGTGTTTAAGTAAGTACTAGCTGTCAATTATTCCTGCAATCAGATACTGCCGGAAGTTGCGAGATGAAAAATGAAATTGGTTAAAAGACGTGACAATTATTTTGTTTCTCTTTGTGTGAGGTAATGTATTCGAATTAAACACTGCAAAATCAATATGACGCAGAGAGCATGTTCAGAATAGGTATAAGTGGACAATTTCGAACCAGATAATAACCATATCCCAAACATCCATCAACACGCAAAAAACCGCGGAAAGAAGATACGAGCGTTCATGTCAGATTGGCGATTTCGCTGACAGCGAATTAGAACTGGACCAGATGGGACACTTCAAGTGCACTTGGATTGAAAGAAGACAGAATTAGAAACGCAAATTACACTCTGCAATCCCAAAAGAACACTCCTCTTACAAATCTATTGCAGTCAAAAACCATTTCTGAAGAAGTAAATTTTCTAGAAACAACGGACGTTTTGGACTGTTGCTTACAACCAAAATATGAACAAAATAAGAGTGAGCGCATTTTCCACCTCACCGGAGCCTAGAACAGAAATTACTATAATCGATAAATCGATAAGATGTACTGAGCGAGAAATCAACACAAGCGTCCGCCGTTGGACGACATCAACGAGTTCGAATGGATGAGCGAGCCGGCTGACTCGAAACCGCCGAACGATGATGACGTCACTGCGCAGCTACAGTAGGCTAGATGTGCAGGTGCCGTCGACTGGCTCTGCGCCAGAAATGAGGGAAATGCGAAATTTTGAAATAGTGAAAGCGTTTTCGGATTCAAGGGCTCTTTACTCACATTCAAGTAATTTGGTAAGGATGGCTGGGTATCACTAATACTTAAATTTTTTACTTTGAAACCAAAGTGACGGAAAGGGAAGTTATTTACTAGATTTGCGTTGAGTGTAGGGTATTCAAGACATTTCGTGACTGTGCAAAGTCTACAAATTTATAGATGTGCAGAAAACTGTTTTTGTAGTGTGAAATTTTTCAGTAATTTTCGAGCCTTGTAGATGTCTCTAGACTGTTCTGGGAGATGTCGTTGGGGATACTATCATTTTTTATTGATCATGCTGAGGAAGTTACTATGTATAGGAAGTGCACGAAAAAACAGCTAGCAACATAAAAACAATAAGTTCGACCTTGTAGATTTGCTAGAGAGATGACTCAGGCCCTTGCAAGACTTCGCTCAGCGCTTAAAAGCGCCTAAAAGCGCTCTTTTTTAAAACTCTAGTCACTTTCCCGTGTGAGAAGAGATAGAGAAAGTGAAAAGAGGTTGAAGGAAATTGAGCGCTTTAGAGCGAAGTCTGGTCGGGGCCTCAAGGTATCTAGACTCTGACCTCTTTTAAACAGCATGCCTGATGCAGTGCTTCGATCTTCGAGGTTTTTCTAAGTCCCCAGAGGAGTGCTTAAAAAAGCATCGCTGATTGGATGTGAGTAACGCTGAGTGGGCGTGGTGCGAGCGGGCAGGCAGCCAATCACGCTCACGTCCTCCCATACACCTGGTATGGCAACTGCCTTCTTCGCAATTTTGCTTGGAATTACCCACGTTTTCAAAGTAAGGATCAAATGATGGCATTCTGCGATACACATTGTATAAGAGCAGCCGTCTAGTAAGCTTTAATAATGCCAATACTCAAGTCCATCATTGTCCAGCAACTGTCCGGAAACTTCAGCGATTGGGACATTGTTCGATTTAGTATTGTGAGCAAGCGCGTCTTTACTCTAAATTGCTGTGTAATCTGCTCTGTCACCTTGTCTCTGTTTTTGTTGTCGTTCTAAAGTTGGTTTTTTCCTCAATTAACTACACATCTTGCAGAGCTATCAAATGTCCATACGACTGAGGAGACGGTAGGAAAAAAAATGCTTAAACGTCGTAGCCTCGGAATGAAGCGTATGAGCTCCTCACCGCCGCCAATAATTCATGGGAAGTTTCATAGCCCGTTGGTCCGGTGTTCGTCACCGGAAGACGGCTCAAAGCGGAGAAGAAAGAAGCCTTTGCGATTACAGGTACGTCAGTTTTGTTACCAATGTTACTGTAATTATTTGCAATTTTTCTTTATTCAGAACCCTTTCAATACTGATCGCGAAGACGTGATTGATCCATTGCGGTTGAAGCTTATTGACAAAAATGCTATAATGGCTAGAGATTCAGCCGAACATGAGGCCATGATTGCTCGACTTTTGTCCAGGCCTTTCACAATACCCATACCCGGGTATTCATGTAAGTTTAGCTTTAGTCGGATAAAGTTGATGAATCCGCTTTTGCAGTATCTGGTCGCGTTTTGGGTATGGCCAGATCTCGAATGCGGGTAGCCATGTTTGATCCTTATGCTGAAAATGCAGTTGTGCTGTATGCTCCACCATCTTTGTCGGCCCACGAGCAGATGAATATGAAAGAGGAAGATAAACTAGTGAGAAACTTTTTTGACATAGATAAGTGCAGCTAGTCACCTCTGACCAAGAGCCGATGAGATTTTTGTGTTACAATGGCGTGCCTACTTATAAGTCGCCCACGTTCCGCAGAAACATCTGACAAGGAAGACTTGCTTCAAGAGATAGATGCGGTAGTGGTAGCACCGCCCATCACTTAAACAATGGGGGTGATGCCTCTGCCAACTATAGAGTCCACAACTGGGCGGGGCTGCCTTGCAGATCTACTTTCTAGGGACCCGTCATACTTCACCGAGAAAAGCCCAAAAGCGCCCAAAAAGCCCAAAAAGTCCGGAAGAGCCGGAACGCAGAAACGAACTTTTGGTAGAATTCTGGATTATTTTGTGGATTATTTTGATGTGCAGACGACAGAAAATGAAGCAAAAAGACTCGGTTGCAAAACCAACACACGTGCCTTAGCGTCAAAATAGAAGGGGCGTTCCGGCTCTTTTGGGTTTTTCGGGCTCTTTTGGGTTTTTTTGGGCTTCTTTGTCCTTTTTTGAGTTTTTTCGGGCTTCTATGGGCTTTTTTTCGGCGAAGTATGATGGGTCCCTTACAAACAGGATAGCAATCAGTTGAGGGCCAGCTGATATATCGATGTTATCTCACTGCCCATATTTGGGTGGACGGTATTTTCTGAATAGGCAAAGGCCTTGATTCTTTAGGTCCATGTCGTTGTGGATCCCGTGTTGGGTAACATCCTTCGACCACATCAGCGAGAAGGCGTAAAATTCATGTACGATTGCGTGACTGGAAGAAATATCGAAAGGTAAGCGCGTAGGTTTTGGTACCAAATTGTAATACTTGTACTTTTGGTTCCTTATCTCTTACGCTAAATTTGCGATCCTTGCTTGTTTTCTGTCTTTTTCTACTTTTTGCGCCTCACATGTTTCATCCAATTATAGTCTTTTCATGCTTATTTTGTAGTTATTTCGGTATTTTATAGTCATTTTGGTTGCATCATGGCCGACGAAATGGGTCTCGGTAAGACCTTGCAATGCATTACGTTGCTCTACACCCTGCTACGCCAAAGCCCTGAGGGCAAACCAACATTTAACAAAGTTATCATCGTATGCCCGAGTAGTTTGGTGAAGGTAATGAACGTTTTCCATTTTTGCATAGGTTTCGAGTTTAGATAAATTCAGAACTGGGACAAGGAAATCAAGAAGTGGTTAGGACAGCGAATATGTGCATTGCCTATGGATTCTGGTAACAAACAAGAAATAACATCTAAACTTAGTAGGTAAACTTATTATACAATTTTTATTGTTTGTGTTAACTTACTGCCGAGCATTCTTCTTCTAGAGGCTTATATGGCTGACGGGAGAGTGCGAGCTGCCAGTCCAGTGCTAATCATTTCATATGAAACATTCCGTCTATATGCGAAGATTCTACATTCGAGCGCAATAGGAATGGTTATATGTGATGAGGTTAGTTGAATTAGTGAAAATCAAACCATTCGCGATACCAACATTGCTCCAGGGTCATCGCTTGAAAAACAGCGATAATCTCACCTATCAGGCTTTGAATGGGCTACAGTGCAGTAGACGAGTTTTGATTTCGGGAACGCCAATACAGAATGATCTGCTTGAGTACTTTAGGTAATTCTGGAAATTTGGCTCTATAGATGATATAGATTCTGATATCTTGAATTGCAGTCTGGTCAACTTCGTGAATCCAGGATTGCTAGGAACAGCTAGCGAGTTCAAGAAACGATTCGAAAATCCAATTTTGAGGTAATCGACACCTATTTGACATCGATTCAGTTTTTTCCTTCTTTTCTTCTTTTACCTTTGTGTACTGATCAAATATAGCAGTCTCTGAAACTAAGTTTCTGCTTTGAAACTGAATTTTAACCCGGTCACGGTCGTTGATTCAAGCTACGAAGGGCGCCGCACTAGCTCTGTAGTCCAGGATTAAATGTCTAGAACCAACTGTAAGGCGTGTCCGACCCGATGTGAAAACTTCTGTAACATGCTTTCCTGCTCAATTTGACCAAAGTGCGTATGCAGTTCAGCGTACGGCGGCGAAGTGGATCCAATTCGGTTCACAGGATAAGTATAGCCGCATTCTGAACGTGCGCAAAGGGTTTATATCAAGGGTCCATAGAGCTTCAGTTATAGGTACTTGTCTGCTTTGCTTGCCTCTAAAGTCAATACAAGCGCGCTATCGTGTGCGACTCTTCTCTTCAATGCTGATGTCAATTCGTCTGGCACGTATGCCTGTTTTCAGAGGTCGCGATGGTAATGCTACCGATGAAGAACAGAAGAAAGGTGAAGAGGCTACGAAAGAGATGGTCACACTTGTAGAGAAATGTATTATTAGACGAACGAGCGCGTTGCTGACGAAGTACTTGCCGGTAAGACAATAAGCGAACTCCCAATTTACGAGTCTTTACATTTCTTTTCATAGTAATTATGTACTTTTTTGAATTTTGTGAGTGTAGATATTTTTGGTTTTTACTAATCGCTGCATTATCAGTACTTGTATCAAAAATTAGGAAAATGATATCGTATAGCAGCAAATTGGTACTCGGTTAAGTTATGGTAGCATTCTTTACTCGTGTAGTGCCGTCTATCCATAACGGTTTGCGCTTTAGGTCAAGTACGAGCATGTCATATGTTGTCGCAACACGGAGTTGCAAGACGCTATCTACAACAAGTTGATAGAGTCAGAAGAACAGAACAGGGCTATTGAGAAAGACAAGGTAAGCCAATTAATGTAGATCAAATGATCGTAGTTCAGTTTCCTAGAATAAAACTTTTAGATGTTTCGAAAACGTAGTGCAAAAATTTTTTTATTTCGTTCTCCCCTATTTTTATGGGGAGAAGCAAAAACTTGTTTTTTTTTTCAGGAAAGTGGAGCCACAGCCTCGGCTTTGTCCTTTATTACGCATCTCAAGAAACTGTGTAATCATCCATATCTGGTATATGAAGAGTTGCAAAAACCAGACAATAGATTCCACAGTAGGCTTTCAGTTGTCGGGATCATGTTTTCCATTTATAGTGCCTCATACAAAATTGATAGAACAAAAAGAAGTTGATGCTATGTAGGTTGCCTGAGCCTGTTTCCTGACTCCTTCAGTTCGAAAAAATGTGATCCATCGGTATCTGGAAAAATGAAGGTAAATTGCAATCTTGGGTTGACCTCGCCCTACATTCAATATTTACAGGTGCTAGATTATATCTTGGCAGTTACTCGAAAGACTAGTAAGGATAAGTTTGTGCTGGTCTCGAATTACACCCAAACTATAGATCAATTCGTTGAGGTAATTTGGATATTCTGGATGTTTTGGACGTATTAAGTATTTATCTTGCAGCTTTGTAAATTACGTGGATATGGGTATGTCAGACTAGATGGGTCGATGTCGATAAAGCAAAGAGCAAAAACGGTGGAGAAGTTTAACGATCCAGAGGTTTGAGATTTTTTTTTATTGCTTTGGGCGGAGTCAGCAGAAGTGCAGATTAAAACTATGCGATTGTGCCTATTTTTCACCCTTGAAAATGCCTGTAAATATTTTTTGCTATGTAAATGATACATTTCTCTTGGCGCTAGAAAAAAATGAGTGGCTACTATGAGTACAAGTGTTTCGGGAAGTCAAGATGTTCAAAACAATGATGGGTGTGGGTTATCTAAAAACCCCAAAACTTTAGAATTTGGTAGAACAGAGCGTGTTTGTTTGGGGAATTTTGTGATGTTAAAAAACGTTCAAAAATATATTTCAGAGCAGTGAGTTTTGCTTTCTGTTATCATCGAAGGCTGGTGGATGTGGCCTGAATCTTATTGGTGCAAACAGGTTTGTAATAAAAGAAAAGTTCAGTCACAAACTGACTGAGTATACGTATAGACTAGTGATGTTCGATCCGGATTGGAATCCAGCCAATGACGATCAGGCAATGGCGCGAGTATGGCGTGACGGTCAAAAGAAGAACTGCTTTATTTATCGCTTACTAGCTGTAAGTCGAATTGTTACGTGTTGCTTCGTTCTAAGTAGTCCACTAGTTTGTTGTATAGACGGGTTCAATCGAAGAGAAGATGTTTCAACGTCAAACGCATAAAAAGGCTCTATCTTCTTGTGTAGTCGACGCCGGGCAAGATGTTGCACGACACTTCAGCTCAGATCAGCTGAGAGAATTGTTCAAGTTGGAAGCAGACACACCATCTGATACTCATGAAAGGTAAGTAGACGTTTCTTTATTCAGTCTATATGCTGAGAAATGGGTAGTACAGTCAGTTTTCATTTTTTTTCATTTTTTGTAAACGCGTCCAGTTGATGTGTAGATCCATCGCACGCAGTTATGTTCTTCTCTGCAAATAATTTGCGTCAAAAGCAGGATTCAGTGTGAATGACATGGGAGCAAATTAAAATATTAGAAATGATATAGAGAACTATTTGTTTTTGAATATTTTATGTGATTTTTGACAAACGGTTATCTACGGCATTTCTGCCTTTGCGATTTTTTGAGCGTCTTGACCATTTCCTTTTGCAGATTAAAATGCAAGAGATGCATAAATGGAATTGAGACTACAGACCCACCTGAGACAGCTGACTGCACATCCGATTTAGCTCTATGGCATCATTCGCAAAGAGATGCTCGGAAGGTTTGAGTTTATTTATTTTTTCAGAAAATATTGGTCCATCTTTCAAAATGGCTGAACTGCAGATCGCTGACTCCATACTGCGTTCGGTGTTCAACTGTGGTGCCATCTCGTTCGTGTTCCATCAAAAATCCCATGATGTGGAGGTGCCTAAGAAGAGGAAGGAAGAAGAAGATGAAGAGTATAGGCCGGACGAGGATGAAGGAGCGGATGATTAATCTGTATGATTATTGGTGCATAGGACAATGTGATTTTGTAGATAATTTTGCTTTTACACATTTTTCTCCCGTTATGATGGGTTTGGTGTTTCTATACTGACTTTCAAATGTTCCATTGAGTATCATTTAAGATTACCTTATGACCACAAGAACATTGTTTTGAGTTCGTTCTTGTCTACGTAACTCTCCAGACCATTTTATCACTTCGTAAGGAAGGCTGAAGTACAAGAGATGCGTAATGAAAAATGAGTTCATTTTCAGAGTTTAAGTTTCAATTTTTTTCTTCACTTTTTTCCTTCCTTTTATTTTGACGCATAACTTTGCTGAAATTGGGGGGTGTATGACTTTATGAACGATAGCATGTGCCAGCCGCCAGCTGGGTACCGTAAGCGGTGCGCTGATCGCTCCGCCCCCTTGTTGATTAGCCTAGGAATGCGTTGCAATCATTGGAAAATCTCTAATATGTCGTTCTTGCTTCTTCAGTTGGTTGCAATTTAAATAACAGTAGATTTCAAATAACAACAGTAGATTTCAAAAAAAAAAAACAGATTCACATCTGTTACTATATTGAACATTCTTTTGTGCACCCACAAGTTTAGTTCAAAAATAAGTCAGCTTATCGAGAAATATTATATTATCATTGCTGAGACCAAAACGATTATCTTTTTTATCGGAAAAGTTAGTTTTGAAACCCTAATCATAGCTAAAACCAGATTTCATTGCGACGAGAATTCAAAAAAAGCATTATAGGCGAACTTTGTTTTAAGCAAACTAATTTCGACAAATTGAGTACATCATTACATTCGGTAAGGTTTCGCACAATCAGATATCACTCGTTTTGCAAATATGCGGTCACATATATTCAGATTTCAGAAAAAGGAAAATCACTTGCATTTTGCACTTGCATTTTTTCGAATCTGCCTTTAGATAACAAAATTCTTTTGTTTGCTTTCAAAAACTGTTACTATCAAAATAAACTGATCTGTAACGCAATCGAAATTGCGTGTGAACTAGTCGTAAGATGTGAGGTCATTCAGACAATCATGCCTGAGGTGTTCTAGATTGATTTCACACTTCAAAGTTGGATGCCCACGAGTCACTCGGTCATTCATAGGTAAATCAGCAAAGCTCTTGAATTTCATGATCAACATATTAGCTTAGCTGTTCATGACTGGCAAAAAAGAAAAAAGAAAGCAAAACAAAATTATGTAAATAGTCAAGCTTCACCCCAGCTTGCAACAAGCTTATAACTCACTATCAGAAGTTGCTTTCACTTGACTAGGGGACATGGCCATGAACCAGTGCTAGAGCTGTACTGCAAAGAACTCGTCCATTATGCGATAGGCGGGGCTAACGGTGCGCACCTTATTGACACACGCCTGCCTAAGCGCGCGCTATCGTTCATAAAGTCCGCCACCCGAAATTGGGAGCAAATCACAAAGATTCGATATGCTTTCAAAAAGTCGTGCGTGTTTTGTGCGCGGAAAGTTGTTTCATAAATTTTCCAAACGGCTTCCAGAGATGCCGATTTTCGAAAAATCTGGCTGTCAAGTGACAGTCGATAGTTTATTGCTGGGACGCATAAAACGTAATGTGCTGGGTACGATAGTCCATGGTTCATAAAAGTTGGAAATTTAGAGTGTAGAAATGTCGTTTTGTATTTCTACTATAGATTCAGCGCAGTACGAGACTCTCCGAAAAAGTCAATTTTGTACAAACTGAAAACGGCTGAGTAAGGCATAAGCCTGTTTTACCAGATGACTCTCACTGGTTTGGTAGAACTAGTATACAAGATAAGGGAAAAATCAGGGGAAATTGAACAAATAAAAATAGACATATCCAAATTTTTGCTCTGTCCAGTTATTCTGGACTTAAACCTAGTCTCTAGAGAAATTAAGCAAAGCGGCATCGAAAACGTCTTGGATCTTTTTTGAGCTGCTTTTTTGAGAAAATTGGCACACGAAATTTCTCACGAAACTGCCCTACATGAACAAGTTGTGCTAGTGACTCGTACCTGTGAATAGTTGCAAATTTTTTGAAAATCAAAAAATTCAACTTAATTTGGGAAAATTATTTTGGGGTGGCTCAAGCCTATGAAAAACTGAGGGCAGGAAGCTAGGATGGGAGCTGCCCCAAGGCTGAAAATTCTTTTCGTTGACCAAAGGGGGCGTGGCTTTAGCCTTTTGTCGAGAGAAGAATTGTCGCACTCGGAGTCGCTCCTACAGAAGCTTTTATATGAGTGGCGGATCGAGGTTTCGTTTTGTGAAATTTTGAAATAAGTCTGCATAGGTTAAAGTCACTTCTTAGTAACTACTTAATATATTTTTCAAAATTTTTTCAAAAATTGGGTCTAACTGGATTTTGGAAAGCATCTAATTGTTAGCAAAGTTTTCAGAAGATGTGGCTCATGTCACGCCCAATTCGATTATTTGCCTGTTGCCCCCACTCCTGCCCACAAACAATTTTTCGGACCACCACTGGCAATTGCATAGTACAAAATCCGACCACAGTGACCAAAGCTTTCGTAGGTGTGTTATCTTCGGTCATGCGTCAAAATCTTATAATCTTCCACGGTGCGGCCAAACTTTGGTTTTATTGAAATCATTTGCTCTATTAAGCAGCGCTGGTAGAACGATTTTCTATACGGAACTTCTAGTAGATTGGCTTATCTAGAGGAGCATAAAGAAGTGGGGTATAGATCCCCAGCCGATATTCCAGGGTAGCCATGATGCTGCTGCAATTGCGCACCTTTTGTGCTCTATCCCGAGAGTGTCTGGTAGAGGTCTTGAAAGGCAGGAAAAAAAATCTCATTAACAGTATATACAAATTCAGCTCGTCTAAATCGCTGCAGATGTCAGCCTGAAGGACTTACAGCAAACCCTCGCACTCTTTTTAGTTTTATGTAGGTCCCTAGAATACTACTAAAATGGCTAACAAGTCTTAGCACGATATAAGTAAGGATGCAAAAATGGGTGGCGCTTCAAGTTGCATCTTGCAATAACTGTCGCCTTCGACCTCCTTCAGCTGTAGGATGGGGCCACTTGTAAGCCCTTTTTTGTTCCTTAGCACTTTACGACAATACGACCCACCGTTGGGTCGTAAAATCCCTGAAGCTCTAGCTTTGCCAGTATACGGTGGAATTCTACGGTAATTTGGCACATGATTAAGGACACCTAGGCGAAGTTCCAGCCAGAATGGTCCGGGCTCGGATTACTGTAATTTGATGTTACGGTAAGTATACCGTAGATAGAGACAAAGAGCATGCTGATTACGAAAACGGCATTCTCAAGTTCTAATACCTCCTTCTTACATCAGTTTCTGATTTTTACGAAGATTTTACCACTGCTACCGCAGCCCCATTGTTGGGCAAGTGAACAAAGTGGACACCATAATCTTGATCAGCACGTGAAATAACCCAAAACACTCATGAAAATCTATGATGTTGGGTTCGTAAAGATTACGTAACCTTACCGTACAATGCCAAAAAGTGAAATAAATCATATTTTAGTAATCAGCGCCTCGGTAACCTTTCTGGAGAAATTCTCAAAGACAATTTCAATTTCTTTATAAGACTACCATTTCGGACAATACGACCCGAGGGTGGGTCGTAAGTTTGACAAAGGGAAAAAGGCTCCAGTTCGAAACGGCAGTAAAAAATCGCCCTTGTCGTGAATGTATCAGAAAACCGTTACCATGTATGTACCTGGGTATGTATCTGAAATTGCACCTCAACCATTAGGATATCTTGGCTCTCGCGTTCTCAACTTTCGTAGTATCTGCGCTCAGGATAATCTGTTGAGCAACCCGATAGCTGCGTTACAGATCATCCTGAGCGTTACTTCTGCAATGCTCCAATCGTTTGGACGCGATCCAGGCTTCTCCCTGTCTTCCTTAATATGTAATTCCCCATACACTTACATAACGCTCACTATTGACGCAGGCTGCCGCTGCGCTTTTTACGCAGCCGCGTTCCCGGCCGCCCCCGCGATCGCAGGCGCCATGGCTGGCGTCGCCGCTGGCCGGTTTTGGCTTATTGATCCACAGACTCGTCAGCTTGTCGCACACACACAACAGCCGACTAGCGGCAGCGCTCGGCAGCCGCCGGCCTCACGCGCCGGGGCCGAGCAGGCGGCCTCTCGCAGACCTCTTCGGCCAGCTGTTTACGCCGTGCGCTCGCTCGGGTCAGACCGCTCTGCTCCGTTGGCTCTTTTGTTTTCGAAGTGACAACATGCTCTTCGTCACTCTCTGACACAGTCTGGCTTTCGCTGCTTTTCTAGCTGTTGGAATGTTTTACTCTAAATTCTTTTGCAGGTATGGATCGTAAGTACAAGCTAGCCGTCATCTCCCGTGTCGAGCGCCATCCAGAAATATGGGATTTCACTTGTGAGGACTATAAAAAGCAAGATGTGCGACTGACTGCTTGGGATCAGATTGTCAGCGAACTACAGGCAGAAGGTTTTGACACAGGTGTGTTATCATCTCCACTGATCACCTCATGAGATCACTTGTAGATCATCTCTATAGATATTAACAGACCTGCAAGTGTTCACAGTTATGCTCCATGGACCAAGAACCATTCGTTCGGCTGTTGACAATTTTGCACTATCAACAGCCACACGAAAGAGCTTTATGTTTTAGGTTTCTATAACAGCTCAGTCCTTCCAGTATGCTGTTATAAGAGATTGAGATATAATGTTCAAGAAGGAACTCCGCTGTTGGCGCCGTATTCCGGAGTACTAGTCCTCTGGCACCCTTGCATAGCGTGTGCCAGTGGTCCATGGAAGCGGCCCAAAGGCATAATCCGTTTCTCTCCGTGATAGGTGCTGCATCGGCCTTCACTTCCATGATTTGTCTATCTTAGTGGAACTGCACCAAATATTCAACGTAATTCAAACCATAGTCTGCTATCAGGCGAAAAGGGTTTGAAACGTATGAGCAGAGCGGCGAAGGTGGCGGGAGCGCACTATCACCATTATGATAAAGTCCACCCATGAGATTGCCCATATCATCGTACAGTCGGTTTCATCCCGGATTAGGCGAGTGATTCTACGTGGAGCAGCGCATGCGCATCGCTGGAGGCTTCGCGAGCGCCTAGCGCTGGCATTTTGCCAAGCAAAGACTAAGGAAATTGAAGAGACGCAGACGTGGGTTCTCAGCACGATAGGATATACTGTAGCTGCGAAACGGCGCGAGCTGTTGCGAGGCGGATCCCGCCAATCCAATTTCCGCCTAAGCGGGCCGAAACTTACTGTACAGTGCATGTTAATGAGGAGCTCACAAATCCGTAGCTTTTACGCGTACGCATCACAAGGCTGATGCGCTCCTTCGCGTGCGTACGGCTTGGCCCTTGCCAACCCTCGATCGATGACGTCTGTGGGGGTTGGCAAAATGCCCTGCCGTCCGCTCGCGCACGTGGCGCACGGGATTTGCGGCGCGTGCATGCAAATCGAGGACTGCACAAAAGGGAATAGGTTTTTGACATCGCCTGTAAGCTGAACGCCGGCGAGAGTGTGGCTTGTGAGCAATTTTTGGCTTTTGCGCGTATGAGTCACCACAGGAACAATGCTCGGCACCCGCATGCCACGCACGCTCGCGGGCATTCAGCTTACGGCGATACTGGCAATTTCCTGCAGTGGACTTTACATCGGGCACTGCAGTGGTAACAGAATCTTTATAGTCCTTCACAATGCAAATCGGGCTTTTGTATCACAACTACGAACTTGCTATAAATTGATACCTGCTCTTCAATATGACATGGAATTGCCCGTATCACCACAGGCTGAGCGTCCGCCGGGCTGGCGATTATTGGCGCTGCCATGATTCATGTCGAATGCTAAGCGTAGCCCGCAAGCGATCTTAGCAGGCCTATGGCGACACGGGTGAGGGAAAGGGGGAATTGCGCGAAACCGCGCGGCTCCCACTGCGAACGCGCCTGCAAATCTAACACCTTTATATTACTGGCTCACTAGTCGCTTAAAATATACTGAAAGTCTGCTTACCGCCTCCATCAGCCTCAGAGAGGTCTCGCGACTCCCCAGTCGGCGACATATGGTCCTCTAGCCAACACTATTAGGTCGTACCAGCCCACAAGGGCGGAGCCTGTTTGGCGAAATATCTTCCTCCGGCCGGGAATTTGCGCTTGAAGAGCGCATTTGGAGGTAGTGTGCCACATCTGCGAGTGCACAAGTCTAAGAAGGGTTCCGGAAGTCTAGTGTGTAAATGCATCTCAATGAAGCTCTGCTCACATTGATGACACACGTTTGATGAGGTCAAAACGTTCAGCATTGGATTTGAGCACGTTTGGAATGATGTTATACAGGGATATAATGTGCAAGCAACTTTTTCATACTTGTAAATAAGTAAAATGATTTTTAAAATTTGCAAGAGTTTATATTAGGTAAAAATTCTTTCCGCGAACGTGGCTGCAGCTATGCCCCTTTTTTTTAAATTTCGAAGTCAGATCCGCAAAAATTTTGTAAAGCATCCCAAAAATTTTTCTCGGAGCGCGTGGCTAATGCCACGCACCTTTATTTGAAAATTTGTCCCCTCCCCCTCCCTCCTCCCCCCCCCCATCGAACAATCCTGGTACCGCTACTGGTACGCGGTTATGAACATAGAGTCCCTCAACCATTCTGCGTCTTTATACGCGGCGGGTATAGGGGACAAAGCGAGTTTCCGCGCTGGACCTCAACCGATATGCAGCAGTGCAAAAGTACTACTTGTACGCGTAAGCAGCCCAAAATGGCATATACCACGCGGCGAGCGATGCTTTCACTTGTGAAGGAATTGACGGCTTTGGGAGAAGCCCTTTTCGACCTCGCTCTCTAAGCTGCATTGGGATCATAGTACGCATAAAGCTTGCAACCAGACGCAGATCAAGACTGTGTAACTACTTAAGGGCGCAGTACTGCGCAATGAAGTCTTAGGATTTCCGTTCTGTTCGGAGGCGTGACAAATGTTTTGAGGCGCGATGCTTCCCAAAACCTTCGCGATTCCGTGGACCAAGGCTTGAATTGAACTTTTAAGAATTGTGAAAATTCATTCTAGTTGTTCACAGTTATAAACAGGTCGTCCTGTAAATAATTTTCAAAGTTTTGGGACCCATTCTCGGGAAGAGGCCGCTGTGCAGCGATTTATGACGAGAAAGGGGTGCGGGGAAAGAGCTAAGAAATCACTGCTTGTTGCCACTTTTGTCGAATGCTGTATTTTTCAGTGTAATTTTGGTATACAGCTGGAAACTGGCAGTTTCGTGCCACATCTAGGTCCTCAAAATTCTCGTTCTAATTTAAACAATCACTGCTACTTCTAAAGACAGGAGCCTTAGCACAGAGGCCAGACAAACTTTGCCTGGCAAAATCTTAGCTCTTTCATTTTTCACTTTCTCAAAAAACGTTTTTTACCTCATGAGTAAAATAAGAAGTGACTTTCATGTGGCTTTGAGTCAATGTTGCGATTAGGGAATCTGGAATTGTGCCCTTTTCTTTCTCAACGATTGATAGAAACTTATTTGATAAACGTTGTTACATAAGTTTTGTTACACTCGATTGAAAAAAATCCTTATAACTTTGTCAAAAGATTTTCCCTTATCCCAAATCATGTATAGTGTTGCAGATTTCTGATATATACACGTCACAAAAAAATCAAACTTTCGGATTTTTTGAGATTTTCTCGTATTATTTTTGGCAAGTTTCCAGTTTTCTAATTGTTGAAGAGCTTAAGCTTCTAAACTGCCTTAGTATTACTACCATTGCTCCCACAAGTCAATGAAAAGTCTAAAAAGATGAAGAAAAAAGAATGAGAGAATTTTAAAAAATAAAGAGAAAATGGAGATTGGAACGCCCTTTTAGAGGTGTCTTTACATTTACTATAAGTCATGTCGTGAGGGCATAAATGTTGCCAGCGGATAGCGCTTTCATACCTTCCCCATATATGTCAAATATAAGACTTTGCCGAATTTTCATTCCGGAGGAAAAACGAAGAAATTGTAACAAAACTTATGTAACACTCCAATATTTAGCGCTACTTCCACAGAAATCTTTGTGACTGGCTTTTTTTCTTAAATCCCATTCAAAGCGCGTAAGCGGGCAGTTTATAGCGCAGCAATGGGAAAGTGTGCAGTTTTTGTGTGCATATTTGAGGCTCTTGTCGAAGAAAAATGTGTTATGGCAGCCGTAACTTCCTGGTTTTTATGTGTTCGTCAAGATAATTAAGAAAGGTATTGTGACAACCTATCATCACAGCCGTCCCGCACACTCATCATCATGGGACATTTGCAGCGTTTTTTCTATGTACTAAAAATGATTTTTTTGTCAGATCTGCAATCCACTAAAACGACATGGAAGAGGCTGAAGGACACGTTTTCAAAGCGTTTGAAACACTATCCACCAGGAGCGGCAAAAGCATGGGTGTATGACGATGATCTCCAATTTCTAATGTCAACATCGAACTCAGGGTTAGTTTAAAAGAATGGAAATGTCTGAAAAAACACACAGTGCACAGTTTACTTCCGTTGAGTTAATCGCATAATTTTTAGTGCAGATCATTCGATGACGGGACCAGACGAACCGGAATCAGTTCCAGATGTCAAACCAATGCAATTTGATAAAGAAGGAAGTGTGACCACAGAGGATGGTTTCACTGATGCCAGCAGTGTTTCGGTTGCGTCGCCGTCGACAGGTGGCCACCGTCATCGACCAAGTGGAGTTCGACGATGTTTACCTACGAAAAAAGAAGTTGGTCGCAAAGGTTCGAGACGCTAGCGATTTTGTCTGAGATGTGAGGCCTTTTTACTTCTTTGCAGGGTCCAGCGAAACTCCGCATACTAACGGATGTTCGAACGAAAATGCCACACCTGATCGATTCGACATCTTAGGTACTTTTCTCAAAGTAACCATTACAGTCACAACTCAGTTGCAAAAGCGCGCCGAAGCTCTTTTGGAAAATCGGCTGCTGAGTTTCCTCGTGCCGCGACTCATAGGCGTCAACGGCCACTTAGGCCGCTATGCTCTGTGGGGGTCATTTTGCTTTCTTGATAGACCTAGCGGGCTACTCTAACTCGAAGTCCAAAATCATAAAGTCAAAGCTTTCGTGTATATCGAGAGAGGTTGAATGCCTATGAATCTCTATTCTTTTTCGCATGGTGGGATTCAGTTCCAGATAAGCACCTGGAGTTACGTAGTATGCGGTAAGGGATCAGAGTCTTAGATTCAACAAATTGGGTATGAGCTAGGCGTTCGACATTCCGATTACGAATATTGAAATCTTTCCGCTCAAAAGCATAGCCGTGTGTGGTTATGTATGGTAGGTATATGGTAAGGGGGGGGGGGGGGAGGTAGAACGAAAATTTTGCTGGAATTTAGTCCAGGGGTCTTACATTGCATGCTGTTTACAGTTCGTGTCAACCTTGTGCTCCCTTTTCCGCCAGCCAAATCGCGACCGCAGGGCCTCGCGCCGTTGACTCGCGTATAACCTGCGCATTCGAAACTTGCTTGATCGATCACGGTCGCCGCGCTAGGCCCTTGCGGTGCGGACGCGCAGCTGCTACGGAAAAGGGAGCACTTGTTTAACATCGATTACGAATATGACACTACCGCCTGACAGGCAATTCGAGTTCGGTAGGTACTGGTAGGTTTCCCACGGTGGGTGTCTGTATAGGGTCAGAACAGATTTGCTTGGAACTATGTGCAGGGGGATGTGACTTGCTGTAACAGCCTTTCAATCAATATATGGTTACTCAAGTAGGCAGGAAGATCGAAGTCAATATCCAAGCGTAATTCTAGGTCAATATATCGCGCAAACCCTGCGTGAACTCTCGCCGGATGTGTCATCGATGAAGATTTTGGAAATCACGAAAGTGCTCCATACACCCATGCCTTCGGCGCCTAATGGAAACATTAAAACAACACCATCATTGAAGCCGTCACAAGCAACCCGCAAGCAATGATCCTGGCGGGCAGTTCATTTGCCGACAAATGATATCGTTTCTGATTTTTACGTGTATCGAATATGTTTTAATTTTCTTGTTGATTAGTATCATCGTTGTTATTTCGCTATCATTTTCAATTTATGGAAAAATCGCTGTCAGTCAATGATCTCTTTATGCTTGTGCATAAAAAGTTTTGCTCAGGTTTGGACAAGCTTCACAGCGTGAAAACTCACAAATATTGGGGCAGAAAGCTATTTTGTCTCCAATGCTTAGTAATACGGCAATGCAAAATAGGTGGTTGCTCTGTCTTTGTGACAGATTTGTCTTGTTTCATTTCTGAGTATCTGTGGATAGCTTCGTGATCATTACCATAATCAGTATTTCGGACACACCATAGCTGGTAATGATCCAAGCGCTCCCTGTAGTCAAATCTCGACAAGAAACAAATTTGGAAAGCTCTCACATTTGTATGACATTTGATCACTCAGCCATAAGAAGGAATAAAATCAGCTCTCAAAATACAAACTCAAAATCAAGAAAAAGGCTCTAAAGTATAGTATACAGGGTGTTCCAAAAAAATGTGAACACTGTTTGATTGTTAATAACTCCTTTGCTTTCAAGTCTTTCGCCGAGCTTGAGGCACCATTCTATAGAGCGAGGTTTAACTTAGATTTACAGTATGGAGCGAATCGTCGATCACTCTTTATTACTGAGGATTACGGTAGGAACTTCGACAAGGATTTTAGGCCATTGGAGGGCATATTCTGCCTCGGAACAAAACCAAACAAGCCAAAAACTTCTATACTATGGTAATGGAAGACGCTGATTTTGAATGTGAAATTTCCACTTTACTGTGATGCTTCTTTCCAAGGTTATCCTAGGTAAACCGTAATAACTGAATCTCCAGCATCTGTCAGAAATGTGACTACACCGTCAAAAAAGCTAAAAACACTCGCAGAAAGTTGTCTAATGGAGAATCAGCGTGCGAAAACCCTAGTACACGATTTGAAGAAACTTTTGTTAGGTGGTATTTTTCATAATGGATCCACATGCTGGAAGTTCTTACCGTAATCCTACAGTAACGAATGGCGATCAGTGATTCGCTCCATATTACAAATCTAAGTTGAACCTCGCTCCACAGAATGGTGTCTCAAAGTCGGCGAAAGACGTGAAAGCAACGGAGTTATTAACGATCAAACAGTGTTCACATTTTTTGGGACACCCTGTATGTTCATATTTATAATACCTTTATGAAGCCGTTATGAACCCAACCTATTTCCAGCAGGGTAAAAGGAGGAGTGGGACCTCACTAGATCAGTAATGATCTAGTGAGGTATAAAAGATTAGATGGCTGCGTTCATACTGATTCGGAAGTTCGGGAACAGTTTCAGCACAGTGCTCGAACTGAGCTGTGCTGAAACTGTTCCCGGAATTTGGGATCAGTATACGCGCACTCTATAGAGTAGTGTATAGTCATGACTATCAGAAGTCAAGCGGTAGATATATGTCATCCATGTTACTGCAAAACAAACAAGATGGAAAATATTTACTTTGATCAATTCTTGAAGGTCAACGATAACAATAACAGCTTGGCGTTCCTCCAGGACAGTTATCGGCTTTGCGGCGAGTGTGCAAATGCGTTACGACGCATGTAGGATTATGGACTTTTATCAGACGGCAGGGGCAGACGATTTGATCATCATTGGATAGAGGGTGATCAATGAAATCAGTGAACGGACGAGCATCATCATCAACACGGCGCATCGTTGCAACGGCGAGATCTCTCGGATCAATACATTGTAAATCGATTAAGCTGCAATCGATAGCAATCCGTTCCTCTCTCTCATGCATTCCCCATTCCATATATGCGCCACTGAGCCATATCGTTACGTATACACTCCCGCCCATGCGGGGGCTATCGGTGATGAACGGACACTGTTGAAAACAACACATACAATAAGTAGCAGTCAAAATTAGTAAAGAAATGGAGATATCAAAAAAAAGTTAAGAATTGGCTAAAAGTTTGACTGCTACTGGACACAAACACAAGACTACAGAAATGGAAAATAGTTACGCCCAAACTAAGATACTCGGATAAATCCGTGGATGCTCCATAGGTATAGGCTCGTCGCGCTACATTCAACGCCGTGATCGTTCCTTCTCTCGCTCTTTTTCACGTTCCTGTTCTTTTTGCTCGCGCTTTTTCTTCTCCTCCAGCAGCCTTTCTTGTCGCTGTGCTGCCTAAAAAGAAAACTTGAAAAAAAAGGGAAACTGAGTCAACTTTACGAGGATGATCAATATGAGATATACAAGACTCTGAAGTTGTGCATCTCCTGCTCATAACATACAAACGTTCAAAAAATAAGCGGTAGTGGGAAAAGTTGAATACTCTACTTGAAAAAAAATCCCCCCCCCCCAAGATCAACGGGAAAACAAGACAGAAAGAAAACATCCTTCGATTTCGCTCACCTCCTCATCAGTCAACGGCAAGAAGTATATAGCTGGTAACGTCTTCGTCTTCATGAATAATGAATCAGCTGTTTTTACAGGTTTTTCTTCCCTTTCTTTCTCTTCTTCGCGTTCGTCACGATGTCTAATTCGATCATCATCACGTCTTCGGTCATAACGATCTCGTTCACGTTCGCGATCATGCTCACGATCATGCCTCTGATATGAATCGCGTCGTTCTTTCTTTTCTATCACTGCTCTGCTGAACGGTGGCGTTTCAGAACGGTGACGCTTTCTGTCATGCTCGTCTTTCTTCTGAAAGGGAACTTTGAGAAATCATGAAATATGCCTACGCAGAATTGATTGCGAATTCTCATCCTCGAACATGTTAACAGTCTAAGAAATATCACGAAATTAAACCTGATGGAAATTATCGAAGTATTACGAAGAAAAAAGTCATGAGGTTGGTGTTGGAGATGTTAAATTCACTGATAGAAAAAGAAATGTAAACTCAAAATGATGGATGGCGAATGCACAGCGCAAAGATATGCATTTAGATGAAGAGTGTTCGAACTAGCAATGCCTTTTTTGGACTATGAATTTTGATAATGTAAACATTACCCTAACTTAAATGAACCCACCAAAGACGTCTCACTCACTACGGAATGTTTGTCGTCGTGATGTCGTTCTTCCTTCGGCTTCTCCTTCTTTTCATCTTTCTCTGTTTTCGTTTCAGACTCTTTCTCAGCCTTTGCACGTTCTCTCCTTTCTTTCTCTTTGTGCTCCTCACGTTTTTCATTTTCACGCATCGCTGCCTCTACCTGGAACATGACAGATAAATCGTGCAAGATGACCGATAAGGGTTAACCTACCGTAATTTTCAGGCTAGGGTTTCTTCCAGGAAGCATGCCAATCACTGGTCTTTCACGATCTGAGTGCTTTCTTTCACTGCGAGTAGCAGGCGCAGGAGTAGCCGACGTCGCTGAAGAGCTTAGTCCATTGCGGTGTCGCTCCATCTAAATCAATTTCTTTTCCTCACCAAAAATGTCCGAGAAACAACAAATAAAATAAACAAAAAAAAACGCACATTTTCCTTGGTATCAAATTGCACGGATAACGTTTTAGGATTAGCCGCTGGCCATTGAATGTTATGCATTGCATATCTAACTTCGCGAGCTTGGTCAATAGATTGCATCTGAAGAGAAAGGAGATAGAAACTACAAGTGGAAAGAAAATGCAGCACTAGAAAACAAAAAACATGCTCATAATTAGATAGATGGCATTTACCTGAACAATACAGTGACTTTTCACGCTATCAATCCAAAAATCGACAATTTGTCCACCAGTTTTCAAGATCTCCGCTTTCAGCGCACGATCTGTGAATGGACGAGTCAACCCACGAATGTGAACTATGTCAGATTCTGGATGTCTGGAAGCAACGCTGTCATCAGATGTGCTATAAAAGGAAATGATTAGTTTACGTTGATAGAAGAGATGGGAAAGAGACAACATAGATGTTAATTGTAACCTCGATGGAGAAATTTTTCGTTTCTTCTCTTCCTTGTGTTCTGCTTGAGATTCTTTAGTCACTTCAATATGTCTTTTCTGTTTTTGTAATTCACGTTCTTCTGCTTCATCAAGTTCCAGTACCTGTAAGCGCAAACTTGAAACTTTCAGGACACAGTTGTATAAGAAAAGAAAATATGCATATGAAAAGAAAAACTACTGATACACAGAAAAAGAACGTAAACAAATCAATCTATATGCAGACCTCATCCTTTGTTTCTTTATCGTCAGTATCCGGTTCAGCCTCAACCTCTGCTTCTCCATAGTCCAGCTCCTCCAGATGATCGCCAGCAGTGCTACCTCCATTTTCTTCTGCGTGTTTCGATACAGATGATGCTAGAAAGGCGACTTTCATTGTACTGAGAAAATCAACGCAAATAAACACAAAACTAAACAAATCTTCACACCGATAAAAACGAAAACAGTGTCAGCATACATAAGCCACTGAAACACTCACCCCTAGATTCCTCTTCCATCTTCTCCTCTTTTTGCTCTTCAGCAGGTTTTTGCTTTCTATAACGCATGATTTGAGCATGGGTAACTAAACTAGCACTCAAATTCACATACTCTGCCTCATTTTCTTTCACTTCTACACTTTCTTGTGATTGCTGAGTTGTCTCATCAACTTCTTCCGACAGTTTATCCTCCACCGGTTCAGGTTCACGAGTAGTTGCAGGTTCTACGGACTTTTGCCTGCAAACACATTTTTACTTGAATCTTCTAGGGCTCTGATGGAAATGCTTATCCTACTAACTTTTCTTCCGCCTTTTCCTCTTCTTTAGTCTCTTCCATAGGTTCCTCACGCGCAGGACTTTCTTCTCTGCCATGCTCCTCCTCTTGGTCGGGGCTAGATGGAGATTCTTGTGGTGCTTCCTCAGGCACGGGAGAAGGAGCTTTCGTCTTCGGAAGAGGTTCCGCAACTTTCTCAGCTATGTCTTTTGCGGTTGTCTCAACTATGTCCTTAGTTGGTGCTGCAGCTTCTTCCTCTCTAACTGTCTTCTTCTTCATAACCTCTTCCTCCTTTGCTGCCTTCTTCTTCATCGGTTCCTCCTGGAAAAAAGACGTCATGAACAATTATGCAGATGAATGGTTCACTACTCACATTAGAACCTTGGATCTTATGAACACTAAGACATTAAAACAGTTCAAATTGGTCTTGGATAAAACCTTTGTGCTCCCATGAATCTTATGCGCAACTTTTCAGCAATTTTCCTACTGCGAGATCTGTGCAAAAGTAAAAACCACTTGCACGGTGGCAAAACAACGGGCATTGATATGGAGCGCGCTGACCGTGCCACGCGCTTCTGCACGCAAACATTGCACCGCAAAATCCCACAGAAATACGTCCGCTATACAAAAGAGGAACATACGCATTTTCTGATTTATATGTGTGAATGTTTTTGAGAAGGAGCATTTACGTATAAGGTGTTTATTCAACAAAATCGAAAAAGTGGGGGCAAAGAGCATTCTCAATTTTTTTCAGACGGCTCAGCAAATGTGATTTGTCTTCGTTTATTACAGCCATATGTACGAGTTAATACAAACACCATAGGAGGATAAACAAAAGAGTGACTCAAAAACTGAAACTGATTTTGAAAGCTGGACGTGACAACGACCCAATAGTCAATAATGAAACCACGCCATCGTGTTCTAACATGTTCCGACTTGTTCTCTATAGCTATGTGAGTTTGAGTTTGACCAGTTTCTATTTCTTACTATGTAGCTACATAAAAATTATGCTTTGCAATGCTCGCTCTAGATCGAACAATTATTATTCGAAGATTTCCATATTTCCAAAATAGTTAAAATTGAAGCTAGCCATCAAAGAGACCTTTCTATGATATTAATATTCAGCGACTTCACGATTGAATTCACGATTCATTAACGGCTGCTTGACTGCTGGAATATAGCCCAGCTACGATTTTAAACTGGTTATTGAGACTAAATCTCTTACAACACTCAGTCGTCGCCTCATAACCTAGCCTGATCTTATTCGCTTAGCACATTAATCAAAAAAGCAAAATGCTTTTATTAAAACTTGCACAGACTGCTTTCACTAACTGAAGCGCTGAGCCAAGTATGTTGAATGACATATGACATCTGCAGAGCTCCCAGAGCGCAAAAAGGCAATCAACGATGCGTCCGCAACATATAAAAACTCCAAAACATGTTCAAACTATTGAAGAATGGTAAGCCAAAAAAGGTTTGATATGCGACGATAATGACCATAATTGTCACCTCGGATAAGTCTTTACTAGGTGCTCCGTAAGTTGCTTGACAGAAAAAAATATTGTATAAAGGAAGTTGATGGTTTACAAACCGCTACCAATCTTCCAAATCGCTTAAGGCCCCGGACAGACTTCACGCGATTTGATCGTCACGACTGAATCGCGACGAGACAACTGCTACAACATCCATGCCGATCAGCTTGCATTTCGGTTGTGATACTTTTCCAGCCCGAAATTTTTGAATGTGAAATGAAAATGAATGGAAATGTCGGCGATTGAGTCGCGACGAGACAACTGCTACAACATCATTCCATGCCGATCAACCTGCATTCGGTTGTAATACTTTTCCAGCCCGAAATTTTTGAATGTGAAATGAAAATGAATGGAAATCTTGGCGATTAGATCGCGAGGATTAAGTCGCGTGAAGTTTGTCCGGGTAACACTCCCAGATTAAGTTTGAAATGCAGTATATAAAGGTCTTCCGACTATATAACAGCCAAACACACTTTCTGCCATTTTACGAAACGGACTTTTGTTAAACTTCAGTTCTTGCATGGCCTTTTTATTCTGTGAGTATAAAAAGTTTAGTGCGAGAAAATTCGCATCTGTGTTTGAATAAAAAAAGTGCTTGCTACTACACAACCTTCTTCGCAGAACAAACTTGGATGGCCACTGCTTCTACTTAAAAGATATAGAACAACACAGTAGGTTTAAAGCAATGAAATAGTCCATGATTAGCCTGCGTTGCATTTGTGATTTAGATATCCGTTACCACATGATATAAGGCCAAGGTCCGTAAAATTCGACGAGCAATAGAAACAACTAAATTCATTATGACTTCTCGTGGCCCGGATGAAAGAGGGTGCGAGCATTATAAGATGACGTGAACTAAGATTCTTGCAGACAAAAATCTACAGTGAGTTTGGAACAGGGAACGCAGATCTCATTTAGGCTTCGGGATTAGAATGATAGTGCTCGTAATTGATTTATAATGAGAAATGACTTTGTACTAGATTTCTTTCACTGGACCTAAATGACTAAAGTCAGCGCAGTATCTAGTAAGAAAAAGGGAGCTCTATGGACTAATCTAGCGTTCTCGAGATTTAGAACAGGTAAGATCGCAAAAAGAATCACCAGCAAAAGAGGAAGTCCCTACAACTATCTCTTATGGGAAATTGTATTACTAGATAAGCATCAACCGCAACTGTTCCAAAGACAGAAAGAACGGGCTCACCTGTTCATTCGATTCGGGAGGCGCTTCTTGCTTACGAGAAGTTCTAGAAGCTTTCTCTGGTGCAGCTTCCTTTTCCGGAGAAGGCTCCTTCTCAGGCAGCGTTGCAGACTCGGAATGGTGATGGCGTTTTCGGGGAGTCTTCGTTGGCTTTTCGGAGGGAGCTTCTTTTTCTTGCGACACTTCTTTTGCGGCTGGAGCTTCTGTTGCCGTAGGTTTCTTTTCTGGTTCTTCCGAATGGCCTTCTTCATCGACTTCACTCGCACTTGAACTGCGGACTCGTTCTGAGATTAGGTAACCATGTCAAAAAGCTAGCGCTGGATGAAAGAGCAAGAAAGCAAACAGGTAATGGTAGACCCATAGAAACCAGCGAGTGAAAAATAAAATAAAAATAGAGATAGAAAAAGATAATTCGCGGTGCTAAGAAAGCAACATACCCGCATCTTTTTTCTGTCTTTCCAAAGCTTCAGCTTGTCTAGCGAGGTAAGCTGCGACTAGAGGATTTTCCGGGGAAGCCTAAATAAGCAGAAATAGATTCAAAAACGGAAGAAAAGAAGAAACATACCACTTTCGGCGGAGGACTTTTCTTTGGCGATTCAGGTTTCTCAACGCAATTTTGTAGTTCGTTTTCGCATATATACTGCAAACAAGATTCATAGCAAAAAGTTTTATGTGATTTTTGAACAAAACATTTGTTAGTAGGAAGTCAATTTCGATAAACTCACTTCTTTCAACCTTTCCAGAAGAACGGATTTGTTTCCAAGTTTTGATAGACCACGTTTATCCAGCTCATCTTTCAAATCTACGACTCTCAAAGTGGAGAGCGGAACGCCATTTACCAAAGGATCATCAACAGACATTTGCTTTATATGCGCAGGTTTGAGGAATATTCGTCTGGAATCACAGATTTTTAGGAGCACAATCACGATCTAACAACTTTTGAAAGTGAAAAATATTCTAAGCTTCGGAAATAGGAATGAAACTCAGATGTAAGAAAATTACAGGTTACCTTATAGCGCAAATGCAGATTACGAAAACAGATTTACTGCTATGAAAATATGCAAACATAGTCATTTGCTACGAAGCTAAAAAGGCATCGACCAATATGACAAAAGTCAAGACAGAAACCAATTGAAAAAAGCAGTAGTGCTTTATTCATTTATCTAACCTTATCCTTCTGTTTTACCACTCTCACACACACTTACCGAAGTAAGGAATAAGTCACAAAAGATGCATAATCGAAGGATCAAGTCAGAAAGAGATGCCACAATTGATCATTGCGACGGCACAAAACAATGGTCGAAAAAGTAAATCAAAAGAAGAAGAAGAGAAAAAGACGCAAATGCTAAGAAAGGAACGGCCACAAAATTCGAAAAAGTCCACGATAAAAAATTATCGAGTAGCGTCGTGCACTCGTCTTGGCATCGTCTTTCGCGCGCGACGTCGCGCTTTAACGCGGCGCGCGGCGCTGTAGCAGGGAACGGCTCAGACGCTCCATTTTCAGCGTCGCTTCTTTGAGATGCGGTTGATTCGCGGCAAATGTGTGCCCATTAACCCATTGACGACGATTTGGGCCGCCGGTGGCCCACACTTTTTGCTGACGATGTGGACCACTGGTAGTCGACACTCCTTGCAACGTCACTTTGAAAGGTCTAGTATTTATCCATAATTCAATATTTTCACAATTTTTGTACTCTTGGAACCTGTAGCTCCGTCGTCCAAGAAAATGTCTATAGTTGGTTACATCAACCTTGCATCGTATAATCACAAAACCTTGCCGCACCGAAAGTGTTGTGCAAAATCGCGTCTCTCAGAGCGCCGCAAAATTAGGCGTCGTCGTCAGTGGGTTAAAGAGGGCATCACGCATTCAAAATGTACTTTCGAATCTCGATGGAAAGCTGATTTACTCTTCTAGTTTATAGAGATGGAATCTTGAACAAAAAAAAACCATTTTTGGCTGCAACTTTTGCTTGTGGAGGGGCGTTGCTTGTCCAATTGTTGCCGTACGGTCTGCACGTTGATGTGAAACGAATGACTTTCACTAAGAAACCAGGAATTCATTGAGATCGCTGATTAAGAGAAGAATCAACTTTTCTTTGGACTGGTAGAGTGTTCCGCAGTGAAAGTTGCTGAACAAGGTCGACATAATATGCCACTGCAGGAAAGGCCCTAAACCTTAAGTTGGATTCGGTACTATTCCACATAAGTTGACCCAAAAAATGAAAATCGTGAATCTCGCTAAAACTTCGTCTAGGGGGGTTATTTGGTACGCTGAACACGAATATGATGTTTATTTCGTGCGACAGCGCCATCCGGTGGAGTTACGGTAGGATTACGGTAGGGGGAAAATCACGGATTTGCCCGAAATTTGGCCCAGAGGGGTTATTCGACCCGCTGATGGCAAATATCACATTGGTTTTGAACCGTAGCGTCATTTTATCGGGTTACGGTAGATACACGGTGACGGGTGTAAAACATAGTTCATCCCGAAACGGGTGTGTGGCGATTTGGATGATCGTGAGGCTTTGCACACATGACCGCCGCCGCGCGCTACACACTCTGCTGCGGCTTTTGCCTAAGCAAAGCACAGGGGAAAGATACATTTGCCGATTTGTGATTTTGACCTTTACCGTAAACCTACTGTAACCATGCAGGAAGACGTTTTCGTGCGGAAAAAGTGTGACATTTCTAATCAGCATGTCGAATAACCCCTCTGCGCAAAGTTGCAGCGAATTTCGAGATTTTGACCCCCTACCGTATACCCACCGTAACTCGAGAAGATGACACTACAGTACGAAACCAATGTAATATTCGGCGTCAGCGGACCGAATAACCCCTCTAGGCCAAGTTTCGGGAAATCCGTGATTTTGACCCCCCACCGGAATCCTACCGTAACTCCACCGGATGGCACTGTCGCACGAAATAAACATCATATTAGTGTTCAGCGTACCAAATAACCTCCCTAGACGAAGTTTTAGCGAAATTCACGATCTTCATTTTTTGGGTCAACTTATGTGGAATAGCGCCGTTGATTCTGACAGATGTGACCCATAGGCATGCATGATCATAAATGTCCTGCAAGACTTGATTGGACTCCAAATCTCCTACCAAATTATCATATGCGTCGTTCCTTCTTCTTTTGTCAAGAGACTTGAGTCATAGATGTATAGTGCGGTTCATAATTATACGAACACCTCAAATTTTAGAAATTTCTGGACTGTTTGGAAGAACTCAAAAGCCGTTGGTACCACGCGATAGAGCACAGCCGAAAAGGTAATGATCCATCAGAATGGAAATCGATGTCAATCTTAGGAGTGTTTTTGCGCTCTAATGCGAATGTATAGCGATTCATAATTATACGAACACTTCAAACAAAGGTCAATTTTTCATTCGCGAGTGCAATCTTTCGAGTCCAAATTTTTTGTAGATCACAGTAATAAATTCTGAAATATCTGCTACACACTGAATCCAACGCAGCTCAGAAAGAGGATCCTTACTTTTTTCGGATGGCTCTAAATGGCTTTGGAGTCATTGCGCTCCAAAAACATCTGTCTTCTGTGGTTTGCGCGCTCTAATTAGCGTCTACCAAGGCTATGAGATAAAATAGGCTCTTTTGATAGATATTTTGTTTGACGCTTGGAAAATCTATGGGTATTCGTGCTGTTTTTCGTCCATGTTCCAACCTTAGCTTAGAGTTAGCACGATTTTGAGCCTTAAAACTCAGCTTCTGAAGGCTTTTTGATGGATTTCTGAGAATAAAGTCGAAGGTACCCTAATGTCACGCGTATAAGGCGCACTTTACAGAATTTTCAAGCGAGCCGCTCAGCCGGTTTTACTTTATTCCGGAAAGAAATCCTTACATCGCACGATTCTCTCAAGCAACACACAATCTGCCCTAATCCTAAGCAGGTCAAAATCGGCATGGCGGGAGTCCGCGCGCGGAGGCTTCGCGCCACATCTGCGGCTAGCTAGTCTGCACTCTCCTCGATCTGTTCACTCTCTGCGACAGTGCGCATATGCAACGCAATCCCCTAGCGCTGCGAGCGCGCAAATACAGCCGATGGTTCGGCCTGATCTCGTTCGGGGCAGACGTACAACACGTTATAGGGTCCTTTGGTTGTAAAGTCCTTTGGCTTGTCTGGGCTGATCGAATTTGAAAAAAAAATCCCCCGCGCCTTATACGCGCGTGAAGACTGGAGTTTTCTAAAAAAATTTTTTTGGGGGGGGGGGGGGGGGGGGGAGGAGGACTCCTATTGGAGCTGCCAGGTAGGCGAGGCCAGGTAGGGCGGGGTCTACCCACACGGCCCAGTAGAGCGTCTGCCCCAGAAGTTTTACAAGTTCACTTCCCGGAAGTTTGCGATTCTCTGAGTACGAGCAAAATTTTGAGAAGCTTCTAAAGGATTCAATAGTTAACGCTGCGTTGTTTCAATCAGAAAATTTCTGTTACGCTCCCCTCCTCCACCTTGCCTTCGAACCATCTGCAGATATCCTGTTCACCCCAAAATAGCTCCCATCTGAACCAACGTGCGTACGCGGTGCGACGCTGCCTTTCGCTCTTTTTGACACGTTTTTCCTGACATTTTAACGGAACTGCCCGAGTTTAACACGTTTAAAAGAGCGAAAGGCAGCGAAATGACGTAGCACCTTTGCGAATCTTGTTGTGGAACAAACGATATCTCCTTCTTGCAGTGCGAACACGACGCACACGGTAACATTTAGAATTAGCGATCGATTGGTGAGACCCGTGGTAATGATGAAAAGACAAAATCCATAGTGCGCATTATCACACATGGCATGAAGATCAGGTCTCTCACAGCAGGTGCTAGAACTGGATGTCAAAAAATACGTAACTTTGAGTCAACTGGCTTGGCGGCTAGAAGGCGGGGCTTTCTGACCTGATTACGGCTGCTCGTGCTCGCGACGCAGTCTGCGTCTCTCCCGCTCGCATGCTCTTTGGTCATCAGCTAGTCTAAATTAGGTCACGAAGCCTCGCCTTCCAGCTGCCAAGCCAGTTGAATCGAAGGGATACAAGATCTGAAAAGATGACTTGCTGTTATTACAATGACTTTTTGGTGTGATCACTCCGCTGGAAGAATTGTACACTCTAAACTACCCACTTTCCTCAAACAAACTTGAAAGGGGTGTTTGCATTTCTGATTAAAGCGGCTGCATGAAATCAGCGTGTTTCATTTCTAAATATGCATACCTGTTGGTTGCTAGTGAGTATAGTTGTAACAGAATTTATAGTCTTTTTCGACGAAAGCGTCGTTTTAGATACTGTTGTTCTTCTATGGGTGTCACAGTCGAAAGCGTGGTTACAGACCCAAACCAGTACGAAAAATTGATGATGATTATGACGATGATGAAGCACCGGAAAAGAGTCGAGTATGCCTGCACTAGTTTTCAATGTAATTGTGCGTCGGAAAATACTTCCACTGACCTCTTTACGTGCAAGAAAGCTGCAACATTTTGAATGCCCTCCTATAATTTCTCCTCAGAATCTTCACTTATATATTGCATCGAAGGACGAGCTCTTAAAGGAGGAAAGGCCGGGTATACATCACACGATTTTCATCGCCTCGCGATCCTCCCGACAATTGTCACGAGTTCATCGCATGCAGTACCTTACATTTCTGCTGTAATAGTTATATCAAGCATACGTCCCTCATCGAAATCATTGCGATTTGGCCAAATCTCAGCGGTATCGCGCCGCTGACATCAAGCGAGGGACACGACTATATCGCCGAGTGGATTTCCTTTCTGGAAGATTTCTTAAATTTTCTGTTGATTCAGAGTGTTTTCTCGCCGATGTTCAGAAACTGATCAAAATCTGCAACATCACAATTTTTGGCATTTTTCTAGTGTGCGGGAGTATCAAGAATATCAAATGATTATATTTGCCCGGACCTCGCTAAATCTTATATATAAAGCTGAATGTCTGTTTGTCTGTCTGTCTGTCTGTCTGTATGTCTGTATGTCTGTCTGTGTGTACGTATGTTCCGAGTAGAAAATTCCATTTCTGAACCGATCCGGACCAAACTTGGCACACATACACTACGGGCCCCGGCGGGTGTCATAGGCTACTTTTCGTCATCGATCGATATCGATTTTATCGATTTTTATCGATTTTTTTGCTGAGTTCACCTACGGGGCTGGGAGTTGGCACAGGGGGGTAATTGAGCATGGGGATTCCAATACAATATTGGTTTTCAGGATTATCGATTACTTTTATCGATTTTATCGATTTTTTTGCAAAGTTTGAGCTACGGGGCTGGGAGTTGGCACAGGGGGGTAATCGAGCATGGGGATTCCGAATACAATATTGGTTTTCAGGATTATCGATTACTTTTATCGATTTTATCGATTTTTTTGCAAAGTTTGAGCTACGGGGCTGGGAGTTCGCACAGGGGGGTAATCGAGCATGGGGATTCCGAATACAATATTGGTTTTCAGGATTATCGATTACTTTTATCGATTTTATCGATTTTTTTGCAAAGTTTGAGCTACGGGGCTGGGAGTTGGCACAGGGGGGTAATCGAGCATGGGGATTCCGAATACAATATTGGTTTTCAGGATTATCGATTACTTTTATCGATTTTATCGATTTTTTTGCAAAGTTTGAGCTACGGGGCTGGGAGTTCGCACAGGGGGGTAATCGAGCATGGGGATTCCGAATACAATATTGGTTTTCAGGATTATCGATTACTTTTATCGATTTTATCGATTTTTTTGCAAAGTTTGAGCTAGGGGGCTGGGAGTTGGCACAGGGGGGTAATCGAGCATGCTGATCATCCCCAAGGGGGGTGATCAGCATGCTCGAACACCCCTGTGCCAAATTCCAGCCCCCTAGCTCAAATTTTCAAAAAATCGATAAAATTGATAAAAGTAATGGACGATCTTGAAAAGTAATATTGTATTCGTAATCTGCATGCTCGATTACCCTCTGTGCAAACTCCAAGCCCCGCAGGTCAAACTTTGCAAAAAAATCGATAAAATCGATAAAAGTAATGGACGATCCTGAAAACTAATATTGTATTCGGAATCCCCATGCTCACTTCCCCCCTGTGCCAACTCCTAGCCCTGTAGGTGAACTCTGCCAAAAAATCGATAGAATCAATAAAAGCAATCGATAATTCTGAAAACTAATATTGTATTCGGAATCCCCATGCTCACTTCCCCCCTGTGCCAACTCCTAGCCCTGTAGGTGAACTCTGCAAAAAAATCGATAAAAATCGGTAAAATCGACATCGATCGATAACGAAAAGTGGATTGTGACACCCGCCGGGGCCCGAAGTGTATGTGTGCCAAGTTTGGTCCGGATACGGCGGAGCCGGGTAAGCCAGCTAGTATTGTGATAAAATAGCGCGAGAGAATTCAGTAGTCATTGTTGGGGTGGTCTCTTTTTAAGGTAAAATTTCATATTATAAGTTGACGAAATCCTAACTTGAAGGACTTTAGAACAAGGTTCCAAGACAACTGATTCTGTTGCTGTCAATATTGATTTTCAGAAAAAAACTATTTTCCTTAGTATACATCATATTGTTATGGGTGTCACTCTCTAGAACTCTTATAGTGGGTAGTAGGGTGGAGCTTTTTTACCTATCCGAATGAGTCTTTGTGAAGAGGGGAGATTTGCGGAGAAAGCGTAGTGATCAAAAAAAAACTTTTCTATAATCCCGCATGGTTATGGCAAAGCTTTCGAAAAATGCTGAATGTTCTGTCTCAAATATATTCGATTATTCAAATTTTTTATTTCGAAAATATCCGATATTCGATTATTTTATTTTACTCGATATTTTGACCTGGAAAATATTCGATAATCGGATATTCGACATTTTTTGCTTCTGAAAATATTCGATATTCGATTATTTGATATTTTTGATTTTCGGACATATTCGATTACTCGGACACTAGAAAAAATTTCGAATATCCCAAATTATAGCGCTCACCCTTTACGGCCACGAAGCTTGGCTGTGGTACCCTTTTCACGTTGTTTCAGATCAATCTGGGACATCATCTTGTAGTTTTCAATACCTACTCATACGGTGACAACGTCGCCGAGGATTTGAACGAGACATCTAGCAAAAATGCTGTCTCTGAAATTCTTCCATTTTTTCCTCTAGGTCTTTCCACGTGCTTTTTTCCGGTCATAAATATCTTGTCAATGTAGACCACGTCCCCGAGCTTACTTTTTCGATTTCTAGGTGTAATAATGGCTGGAGTTGCAAACCACTTTTCTGGAGAGAGTGCGCAACCATTTCATCATGCTCAAAGGTTTCGTGCTCGGCATGATGAGCAAAACAAGACAAAACATCTTCGGAAACCGAAAAGACAGGGGAAAATAAGATTCCAGGATGCCAAAAATGAGTGTGGCTTCGACGTTCTCATTAATCTTATATATAAAGCTGAATGTGTGTTTGTATGTATGTCTGTCTGTCTGTACGTATGTGCGGAATAGAAATTTTTATTTCTGAACCGATTCGAACCAAACTTGGCACACATACACTTCGGGGCAGGGGGCGTGTCATAGGCTACTTTTCGTTATCGATCGATATCGATTTTATCGATTTTTTGCAAAATTTGAGCTACGGGGCTGGGAGTTGGCACAGGGGGGTAATCGAGCATGCTGATTACAAATATGTTATTGACAGGGCCGGGCGGAGCCGGGTTTGCCAACTAGTTTTAGAATAAGACTTCTCGTTTTTTTATAACTAACTTTTCATCTTTTTTGCTTCTTTGTGATCGCCACTTCAAAAATCTGATTGCTTTTGTGACGACAGCAGAGTTATTGGGTTGTCGAGATGCAGACTAATTAGAGTCCGACAGTCCCCTCGCCGACTGGGCGGTGCCACCAACTTCAGATGAGCTGGCACTCCCCGGGTGCTCGGTGGTCCCCTCCCCAATTATGTTCCCCCATATTTGTATTTATGTTATAACGATAAAAGAATCTAGTCAAGAACTGTTATGTTATTACAAAGGAAAGAAACTAAGGGTAGAGGGATCAAGTTGAGAGAATAGCTAACTCTTCAGACTTGACAGGGTTGTCACGAAAGTTTCGTCGTTTCATTTTTAAAATCCCTAAGTTTTTTCCATCTCAACGGATTTGCTTCTTTTTCATTCTATTGGAAAGAAGAGTCTTCCTCTTTGTAGTCGTGTCTCAAAGAGTTTCTACTATGCGTTCATTGCAGAGATAAAGATGGAAAAAGAAGACCACTTGAGCTCTGACCATTTTAAGATAGGTAGCCAAAAATCTGAAACGCTGCAAAAAATATGAATTTGCTCGCACATAAGTTTTTTGAGCTATTCTCTGCATCCGAGAAAAAAATGCTGTTTGAACGTCCCTATGAAATATTATAGTTTTCGAGTCTACCATAGAAAATGCCAATGAATGATTTGTCGCCTTCTATGAATAACTTTTATCGAAAAGTCCAGACAGTACAATTTTTTCTCAAATGCAAAGAAAGAGTAAGTCACAAAACTTATATACTGACAAATCAGAGTTTTCTGCGGCGTTTCGGACTTTTGGCGACCTAACCAAAATGGTCAAAGCTCAAAAAGTCTTCTTTTTCCATTTTCATCTCTGCAATGAATGTGTACTTGAAGATCAGCGAGATATCTTTATAAAGGCGAAGAATTCTTCTTTCTAATGATTAAAAAGAAGCAAATTCGTTGGGACAGCAAAAAGTTACAAATTTTTAAAAATGAAACGACAGAACTTTCGTAACAACCCAAAAACTCTGCTGTCGTCACAAAAGCAATCGGATTTTTGATGTGGCGATCGCAAACGAGCAAAAAAGATGAAAGGTTAGTTATAAGAAAACGAGAAGTCTTATTCTAAAGTTAATGAGAATGTCGAAGCCAATCTCATTTTTGGCGTCCTTTGGAATCTTATCCCCACCTTGTTGTTTCGGTGAAGACGATGCTTGCCTTGCTCTGCTCATTATGCCGAGCACGAAACCTTCAAGCGTGATAAAATAGTTCCCTCCAAAAAGGTCTTTTTGCAACTTTAATCATTATCAAATCAGCCGATTTCTTGACAACCTTGAAGGCAGCGGCTCGGCAAATCCTCGACCTGAAGTTTTTTTCGCTTACCCGGGTAATTCGAGCGCTGATTTCGAAAATACACTTTGAAGAGCACAAAAATGTCGAAAACCAGCTTTTCCAAGCGTTCTCATTTTAAATTTGGACGAGTGGATCACTCCTCGCCATGTTTAGAGAAGTAGACTCATCGCGGGACCCTCACGTTTATAGCATTGCGGCATGCCGCCTCTGACGGTGGGAGCGGGACCGCAAGCTCGTTCGAGCGCGTATAGGATGGCTTGCGCGCACGGGTTTGGGGGCAGTTTTTTAGGCAGGGACAGCATGTAGTGCGCTTGGACCTGCTCTGTTCTGATGTTTGGGATGCAAGCACCTTCCATATGAAAAATTTCTAGATGCTGGTTTTGCCCAGCCACAGCCTTTGAGATTTTTCCACTAGGTCATTTAGCGTTTAAGAAAATTTGCTCCGTAAGATCTCCTTTTTGGGAGTTTGATGAACTGGTTGCACTGCATATCCCAAGGCTTAGGGGTACATCTGTAGCCCAGATGCTAGAAAGTGACAAGTTCTCCGAAGACGTTTAGCAGGATGTGGCTGCAAGTTCTGACAAGGTTGTGCCATTGTCCCCAGTGTACCCTTCTGTGTGCATGAAATTGCAAAATGTTTTGACGCTATATTGAGCAGTGTGATTTGTTTGTAATATCAAAACTTGGATTCGTTCTATGCCAAACAGAGTTAAATATAATAAAATTTTGGAATGGCTGCAAACTTTTGGCCAGCACCGTACTAAGCGACTTGTTATAAGTCATGATGTCTATTTACACCCTAGAAACCTTTATAAGTAAAATCATGTACACTCGAGGCAGGTTGTTTAGCATAGGCTCCACCCCGATGACTGCATGTTCAAGCTGGTAAAAGTTGATAAGACAATAAACGACCTAATATGATTACGTAAAGGCTGGTCTAAATGGCCCTCACCAGTTTCGGAGTGACCTTGGACAAAACAGATCGAAAATACATTTAACACAAGTACATCTATCAGATTTTGAAGAAAGCACCTCCTACTTTTCCATTTCCTGCTTAGTACGGGCACCCGTCGTAGAAGGACAGCTTCACTGCAATTCATATGAAATGACGAATTCGAATAAGAACGAACAATTTCTCCGTCTTCAGGAAGCTTTCAAAAGAAGGGAGCATTCTGCAGTCACGCCGGTATGGAATTTGACCACAAAGCGGCTGCGAATCCTCTAATTCACAAATTCAGGAGAAAATTCAAACATGTTTCAAACAAGAGCAATTCATTCATGCTAATCATGAAGATTACTTTAATAGCACAAGAAAGCGAGTCAACGAAGCTCCTGTGAGAGGTGAGTGCGTTTTTTTTTCTTTCCCTTTTTGTTCCCTTCTACTCATATTACTACTAATCACTTTCAGTTCTCGGGATTGCGACGGACTGCGTTGTATACTTTGGCTGGCTCCATTTGATAAGAACGAGTAAAGCTTCCAGAAATGTATTTGTTGAAGGATACAAGGATGCCTGTATAGGATTCAAACCATTTATCTTGAGATCAACAAATGTATTTTTCATTCTGAATATAGTAACTAGTTATATTAACTAAAAAATATTTTTTTAAGGATGGCAAGAAAGAGCTTCTTTTTGTTGCAGTGAAAAGGAGTGGACGAAGGATGCTAGTGCAAAGTATTGCAAGGTCTGTATCAATCTAACATGGTGACCGTACTAGTTTTTGGAAATATTAGTTCATTCCGAAAGTAATTTCGCTTTTCAAATTGGCGCCATATCTGAAGGAACTAACCTTTCCAAGCTCTCCAAAAATCCCCAGATTCTGCGACCGATGGTTTTTGCTATGGTTAACTTTGGCTATTTTCCAAAATCTTTGTATTAATTCTCTGAAGGGGCCCAAGTAGCGAGTGGATAGAACAAAACCTATAGGATACAAAACAATTTTTCTCTCCTTTCCATAGCTCGACATATTTTTTAATAGAATTCTAATTGATGCTACTTTCCATTCTTGGTCAACTCAAACCCCGTAGAACATCATGCGGTGAGCAGCCCGGGCGTCATTCGATGCAGCTTATTCTCCTCTTTCTAATAAGTGTTTTTTTATTTCCGATTCATTCAGTCTTCGGGGATAAAATCATCATCACTCATGTTTTTGAACCCAAGGCTGTACCCGAAAACTCGAAATTTGATATTTTGAATGCGAAACTCTCATTTGCTTTGCAAAACCAATATTAAGTCATATACCATTGGAAGTTTCAAATTCCGAATAATTACCGACGTTTGATGCAATTGTGGCTGACATAGGCTTGCCAAAATCCGATGGTTTTGTTAAAAAATCTTCAAAAAAAATTACGGCAAGCTATGAAAAAGAGTAAAAATTTGTACTATATCCTATGAGGTTTGCTCTATGTAATCGTTACTTGAACTCCTTCTGAGGGTTGGTATGAGTTAAAAAAAGTGAAACTTGACCATCTCAACAAGCATGGGTTGCAGACAGGGCTCAGCACGAGCTGGCACCAGGGCAATTTCAAAAAGAAGTCCCGTTTGATCTTGAAAATTTCGTATGAAGTCCCCTTTGACCTGTTTTGAAAACCTGTCATGATTTTTAGATTATGTAAAAGCATGTAGTAGGATTTTCATGCATGCCGAATTCATGGAACAACTTTTCGCAGCTTTCTGAGCTTTTTAAGTGGTTGAATCACATGTTGAGAAGCAGAAAAAGCCGATTTTTCAACAGCGGAGCAGGCCGAGTAGTTTTCCGATGGCTATAAAACGCTGAAAAGAAAACATTATGAAATTGTTTCTTCTCTGTATGTAAACTTTTGCGGTGTAGATACGTTTTATGTAAAAAAGTATGAAACTTATGTGAGCAATGTGCCGCTGCCAGCTCGGCTGGCACCCAGCTGGCACGGTGCCAGCTAATCTATATATAAATAGAACTCAATCTCTGTATATTTGTTCGTTTGTAAGTATGTGGCTCATAGACTTTTTTGTTTGTGAACCGATGAGGCTGAAGTTTGCTCCCTTATAAACAAGCCACGGCGCAAAAGATAGGCTACTTTTTGCGGCGAGTCATTAAGTCCTTCTATCGATTTATTGATTTGTTTACTTTCATAGAGGAAAGTGAAAGCTTAACAGATCATTTGCTTAGTAGAGTGTAGGGGAGCGGTACATCTTATTCTTAGTTTTTGCAAGCAAAGAGCAGTGACAAGAAGCGCACTTCAAGTTGGTTTCCGGATGTGTTCGAAAATAATGTATACATTCATGTTGAGGTATGTGTGTCTGTGTATGTCTTGCCGCAAGCTCATGGACGCCGCATATTCTTGGAAGTCGCTCTTGCAAACGTTTGAGAAGAGGGTCTATGTGCAAATGAGCGCAAATGATTCAGTTGAATTGTTACGAACAGCAACAAAACCTTACATTTTTAATAATAGTATATTGAATGTCTAATAGCAGCAAAGTGTACTGTTTTGAGTTGATAAGATGCGGAAAATGCTGAAAATGAAGAAATTGCAAGGGCCCAGTTTCAAGGGCCGGGCATACTTTACGTGATTTCATCGCGACGCAATTTGGCAATTCGCCAGAAGTCTTTAGATCCAACACTAGCGAACTGCACATGCATGATGTGTATAACTTAGGTGGATTGATAAAATGCCCTATCTTCTGTACATTTAAAATGTGCTTACAGTGTGTTATGGACAATTGGAGTACTGCCAAATCGGTCGCGACTGAAACCGCATAAAGTATGCCCGGCCCTTTACGCTTGCGGTGTTGATAGACGACAGAATTTAGCAAAAAGTTCAGCACAGCTTTCATTCATACAAGTTTTCATAAATTTTTGGGTCATAGTTCGGGTCCCCCAACGCGCATGCACACACCAAATTTGGTGTCTTACTATTGCGTTTTGATTGAAAACTACGCCTTTGTTTGTTTGATGGACAGCATGCCGGTGGCATGTCGGCGGCATTCTTGCGGCTTTTCTCCGCCCCGGACCCCAAAACGATATCCCCTTTGTTTTCGCCCCAACTCAGACACTGGGATAGGGCGAGCCGCGGCCTCAAAATGCCTTTCCGGCCCGTCAGCGGCCTTAATTTGTGGGCGTGGCCGGAGTGCGGCCGAGCCGCGGACCTTAATTCATGTTAATATCATTGCACCGGCCGAGCCGCCGACTGAATATGGCTTACCGGCTCAGCCACGGCCTTAATGATGGGGGTGGAGCATTGCAGCGGTTGAGCCGCGGACCAAAATCTCTATAATGAAACTCTGGCCGAGCCGCGGCCGAAGTTTCATTATAGAGATTTTGGTCAGATAAGGTCCGCGGCTCGGCCGCTCCAGTATCTGAGCATAAAGAATACTTGCGTGATGTACGACGCATGGTCAGGCTGCCCTCTGTTCATGGCCTTCGATGTCTTTCCAGTCTCCAAGGTGGGAACAAGATCAGTATGTTGTACAACCTTGGATAGTATCTGTGTTGTCCAATGTTGAAGTCGGAATTGGTTTCAGAAGCCGCTATATCGGTGGGCTCAATTTTTGTTTTTTTACTGTGTATGTTCTATGTGCCAGTGAATAAAAAAACAGTTCTACTGTATCCGAGCTAGAATGAACTAGACGGCCGGACAACCAGCTTCGGCTGAGCCGCGGCCCAAAAGCGGACGAGCCGAGGCTGTTTTCCGGCCAAGCCGTGGCCCATCTCCGGCCGGGCCGCGGACACTGCGAAATTCCAGCCGGAAAAGGTCCGCGGCACGGCCGTCCCAGTGTCTGAGAAAGACGATATCCAGCTTGACCCAGTGCCAGCTGTGCCGAGCCCTGGTCGCAGATTTTGGTTATTTTCCGAATGCTCATTGAGTGCGCTGCAACAATTACATTAGTGTTAGAAAGAGGATGATATGCTGTATCGAATACTACCAAGACCTCTTAGAAATCTTTGTTCCATCGAATATGGCGTCCGTCTGGAAAAAGCGAAATTACTTTTGAAATGACCTGATATGTGGCGGCACCACGCCGTGTAACTTATTTCACGATGCTAGCTTGCATTTGTTGAATTTTATTGTAAGTGAACAAATCCTTTACATGATTCACCAGTCATAAAAACTACTTTCGAAAAATATACATTTCATTCAGCTACGCATCACTATGTACTAGAAAGCACTCCACGCGTTCTTTTTTTGCAAAATATTCAAGGAGTCTTGTAATTATGAAATGATGAATGATGAAAGTTTTCCTTCTCAAATAAAGCAGCGATCAGCGAGGGTATTTTTGAACTCGGACCGTTTATTGTATGGAGTGCCCTGACAAATAAAATGCTCCATCTGAGCGCCAAAAGAAATATAAATTTCATTTTGTTTATCCTGAGGTCGCATTTATCTCTGTTCCATAAAAGCTTATAACTCGTCAAAAACTTACCGATTGAAAAAGGCAGATTTGGAATAAGCGATTTATGTTTTCCATGACTATGTACATCACTCTCGAAAAGGCCATCGACTAACTATACTTATCGGCGATTCAAAACACGCAAAGACTGGGCGCTGCTGCGTCCGACCAAGATAGCTGGTGCTTAGGAGAGACAGCAGGTGGTAAGAGAAACGAAAGAGCGCTTGATCGGAGAGACGCCGATACGTCCGCAATCTTTGCGTGCAACGAATCGCCTATATTTCGTTAGGAAATTTCTTTGCTTGCTTGCTCTCAGTCAGCAAGCTCTTTTCCTTGTCGTATCTGTTTCTATTGATTGAGTTCTGCGGCCTATTTTTGTAAACCTTTTTTTTACATTTCAGTAGCCTAACTGTATCTGAAAAACCTGCATCTATGCTCGGAGGAATGATGCTAATGCTGATGAATCCCTATTCTCGTCATGAACAATTCTTATCCAACGAATTTCCTCCAGGTACGCATATCCTAAATGATATATTGTTCAATGTCTAAGGTACAGTCTAAACAACTTGCTTGTCGTATTTAGTTTCCTTGTCTTTTGATGAAGATGTTGCTTCATTCAAACTCCCAAGTCATTATTATCAAGAAAGACATTAGGAGATGAGATGAAGGATATGTGATAAAAATGAATCGCTGACTCGCTAAGCTAATCGTTTTCGCGCAGACATTGAAGCATCTCCCTTATGGTTATAGAGTTAACATGAACGAAATGCAATATTCACGGAAGTTTCTCAGAAAATGGATTGGTAACAAGATTCTGCGACAATTTGCTTCGATCAAAAAAACGATTTCAATCAACAAATGACACACTATGAATTGAAATCTAATCTAGTATATAAAGAATCGTAACGCCATTTGGAAGAACATCAGATAGCTGAAAAGTGCGGTGCGGTCCCGAAGCGCGCGGACTCTACAGTCTGCCTCGATCCCAATCAGGCCAAAATTGGCATGGCGGGAGTCCGCATCGCTAGGGTTTCGGGTCCCGCCCACTGCCTGCTTGTCTACTCTCTCTTCGCTCTCCTCGCTCTCTGTAATAGCGCGCATGTGCAGCTCAGAGGCCTACCGCTGCGAGCGAGCAAATTTACGCCAACGGTTCGGCCTGATCCCGATTGGGGCAGATTTAGGACCTTTAACTTAACTGCTGGTTCACTAGTTAGTGTAAAAAGAATAGTATTCGGTGTCCTTGATACTCTTTCTGGGCAAGCACCAAACGCATCTCACAGTCGAGGAGGCAATTGAATGTGTGCAAGGTCTTTATGGATTGCGTGGGTCCGCCATTACCACGTCGATGCTTTTATCCTCCAAGACTACTCTAACACCTTTACTGCGGATGGTGGAGGACTTCGTGGCCCAGGGCAGAATTGAACATGGGTTGCGACGTGTCCTAGCCACGCTAGCCACTCCTCTCCAAAAGATTTGAAAAGATTACCGAACTCAAATGAGATCTGGTGCGAAATCTACTATTCTCCTGTACAAGAAGGGATTTCTGTAAAAGTCGCACCAGTATAGGCGAGGCCGAACGCCCGCGATACATGAAGTTAAGATAGTGATCGGGCTCATACCTAGCTGAAAACCTGCAGAAAAGACGGATACGCCAGCAGCGCGAGCTGGCGCCAAGAAGAACTCCTAACGTAAACCTTGTGGATTGCAGTTATAGAACCCATTTTCATTTTCACTCTCCCGTTTTCGCTCGTCAAGCACAGTTATGTACTGGCGTGCATAGGCTCGTCCAGTGTGCCCTTGCTGTGTCAGGCGCTGAGAAGCGCCGTGCTGACTCGGCGCCGGCACAAGCTAGCGGAGTGGCTGGAAACAAGGTCCGATATGCCCGCTCTGCGGAAATGACCTTGTACTGATCAAAATTAGCTGAGAACCCAAGGGCGCTGTTTTGTTTTTGAGCCACAATTTCATTTAAAAATGTAAAAAAAGCTTTCTTTTTGGACCACAATGCCTTTGGAGAAAACTTCGCAGGTAAGGTAATTTGAGACCGGAATTTCGTCTAGTTACTGTTATGCATCATCCTTTAAATCGTCACCACGCCTAACTGTCCGTCCCTTGTCAAAACAGCCATATTTGTACCACTTGGTCCACTTTACTATTAAACAAATCAGTGATTTGTGAAGAGTGATGTGGATAAGTGGATTATTTAGACGGTGTGGCCGGTATGGTTTGAGCTTAAAATATGTGCATTTGTGCATGTATACTCTTCTGTGTATGTGCGCGTATATGTAATGCATGGGCCTTTATGTACACAAAACGTCTAACGGAGAGAAACTGCGACTTCAAGCTGTGTAGATGTGTGCGTGGTGTGCTACATAATCTAAACGACGCTCGATTCGACCGTACCACCAATGACGTGATAGAACTTTGGCAACAATGGACAATTCTGCGAAATCTGCGCGCACATTGAAACTGCTCAATCTCAGACTTTACCTACATAGCATGCACAAACCTATTGTTCAATATCTATATCATGGGATATTCATCGGCCAAAACTCGGTGAGAAATTTTTAGTTTTGCAACGTACAATAAACAAGTATCTCTAGGTTGCTGGAGCTAAAGATTGGAATTGACAAGTACAGAAATCTTGTGCCTTTTATTACAACCAACGGTAAGCAGATTTGAGCAGGCATTACAAAATGGCAAAATTTCTTCAATTGAACATACGTCGCGTAAACTTCCTAATCTTGCCCATCTGCGCATGGAGTCTAAAAGGGCGCTTTATATTTGCGATCTAGAACTGCATTTCTCCTTTCCTTCCCGTCCTTCAAAGGCTTTGATTTATGACAGCAAGCAATATGCTAAGTGTTTGAGTTGCTAAGTTTTACATTGTTTTGTACGATCCTCTGAGGAATTCTCAAAAGATCACCGCTTTCCTTGAACTCATTTTTCTTCGTTAACGCTCAATGAAAGATCGAAAATAGCGATGAGGATCAACTAAAGAGATAATAGCATAGGAAAGTCATAAGTTTTTCGATAAATTGTGAGCAAAGTTTTATCGTAAAGTCATCCCGAGATTGCCTTACTTCTACCATAGACATGCGTAGCACCATCATACAGTGCTGGCCAGAACTATAATTCCACCCTGAAAACTGCCGTAACTCATCTGCTTCTCAACGAATTGATCTGAAATTTGGTACAGTTGTGTGCTTAACAGGCTACCATCAGTAACCAGAACGGATCCCGTTTTTGTTTGATTATTCAGGAAATAATCAAAAATTTCGAAAAAAGCAGGCTTGAAGGTTGGCCAAAACTATAATTCCACCTAAGGTTTCTGTCCACTAAAGTAATTCTCGGCTTCCAAAGTAATTTCATAGTATACATAATCAAAGGTCAAAACAGTCGCTTCATACAGCTGTGTCATACGTTTATAAGAAACGTTTATCTGCTCTTTTTTAGATAAAAATACTTTCATGCGTATTTCGTTCCCAAGAATGTGTTTTGATAAGTATTTTCGCAGTTTTTTGACTAGTTTGGAAGAGATAGCTCCACCTATCTTATAGATGCTTAGCGAAGTGAGAACTGGAAAAAAATTGGAGTTTTCATATTTAAAGCGCACCGGACATAGACCTTACAGCAAGCCTGCGCTCAAATTTCTGCCTCCAAAATTGGTTTATGTTACTTTTGTAAGCTCAAAATGATGTAAAGCATAAAGTTTACATAAAAAGAGGTCTGCACACTAACTTGCGATTGTTGGCCAAGTCAAATTTTGCTTCGTTTTCAAAGCATAAATCTTCGCGGTTCAATGATAATATTTAGGCAGTCCCAAAATACTCACCAAGTGGTACCTTTCCTTATTTTTTGCCACTATTTAGCTTCTAGATAGTGAAAACACCCTGAATTGTATGATGCCTTGTGACTCACATGAGCATTACGATCAGAACCAAGAATAAGTTCAAGGCTTTTTGCAAAACAGTTTTTGCAGGATGAATTCCTCAATTAGCCTGTATGCTAAGACTTGCGAAAATCTGCAACCACTGCATTCGGACTCTCATACGTACAAACAATGTTATTACTCTACTTTACGCTCATAAGAACATTGCAGAAGGAGTTTGAGGGCATAAATTTGAGCGCAGGCCTGCGGTTAGCTCCATGTCGGGTGCGCTTTGAATATGAAAACTCCGATTTTCTTCTAGTTCTCACTTCGCTAAGCATGTATAAAATAGATGCAGCCCTATCGCTTCCAAACCAGTCAAAAAACTGCGAAATCACTCATAAAAACACATTCTTGGGAACGAATTACGCATGAAAGTATTTTTATCTAAAAAAGAGCAGATAAACGTTTCTTATAAACGTATGACACAGCTGTACTGAAGCGACTGTTTTGACTTTTGATTATGTATTAGGTTGGTCCGAAAGTTCTTGCGCATCATTTTCAAAAAATCGTAACCTCCTTGCCACTCAATGCATTTTGTTGAAATTATATCTGTTCGAAAGAGGAATCCATGCTCTTTACAGCAGCTGCTCAGCCATGAATTATTTTGAGAAACTTCGACAGTTACAAGCAGTTGAATGAAATCAGTCAAGTTTGGCATTTTTCGAGCTGGATCACAAAAAATTCTGGAAGTATTTTTATTTGATAGAGAAAATTTTGCGCATTACAGTGGTACCTTTTCCACGAATTAAAACGAAAAAGATCGAGAGTTAGGAGCAAATAAAGAGAATTGTTTCAGTTTTGCAATTTTTGAGCACGCTCAAGAAAGCCTAGAAACGTCACAGAAAAGGCGGAAAGTCATGAACATTGGTTTTGTGACCTTCCCTTTCTAGCTGAGTGAAAATCCTGCTAATCGAGGGCCATTTTGATTTTCGTGAAAAACGCAGGCCTGAAAATCCGAAAAAATCACAAAAAACAAAATTGCTCTCGATTGACACGATTCTTGCTCAGCTAGAAAGAAAAGGTTGCAAAACCCATGTTTATGACTTTTCCGCCTTTTCTGTGACGTTTCTAGGCTTTCTTGAGCATGCTCAAAAATTGCAAAACTGAAGCAATTCTTTTTGTTTGCTCCTAACTCTCGATCTTTTTCGTTTTAATTCGTGGGAAAGGTACCACCGTAATGCGCAAAATTTTCTCTATCAAATAAAAATACCTCCAAAATTTTCTGTGATCCAGCTCGAAAATTGCCAATCTTGATTGATTTCATTCAACTGCTTGTAACTCTCGAAGTTTCTCAAAGTAATTCATGGCTGAGCAACTGCTGTAAAGAGCATGGATTCCTCTTTCGAATAGATGTAATTTCAGCAAAATCCATTGAGTGGCAAGGAAGTTATGATTTTTTGAAAATGATGCGCAAGAACTTTCGGACCAACCTAATATATGCACAAATTACTTTGGAAGCCGAGAATTACTTTAGTGGACAGAAACCTTAGGTGGAATTATAGTTTTGGCCAACCTTCAAGCCTGCTTTTTTCGAAATTTTCGATTTTTTCCTGAACAATCAAACAAAAACGGGATCCGTTCTGGTTACTGATGGTAGCCTGTTAAGCACACAACTGTACCGAATTTCAGATCAATTCGTTGAGAAGCAGATGAGTTACGGCAGTTTTCGGGGTGGAATTATAGTTTTGGCCAGCACTGTATTGATTCCGCAGCAAAGCCTCTATATCATTTTCAGTGCGTCTAAAGAGGTAAAAATGACTGAAGAGTGTTGTCTTCCTGGGATCCTCAAAGGGATCACACACCACAATGATCCTAAAGTAAAACTCAGCCTATATAAATTGCATAGCTGGCATTCCCGGTTCTACCACCCGGGGACGGATAGTCGACCTTCAATTCGTAACGTGACCGTAAGTCGCATATGCGAAATTCCATTTACCTTTTCGCCGTCTTCCGCTTTCGCCTTCTGAGTACTCACTGCTTCTCTCCATGCACCGCATACAACCGGCTAAAGCACCTTCATAAGAAACGAGGAGGACCGTATCGAAATCATATGTGTGCAACATTTGGCGCTGATCGGTCCACACACAAAAGTTTCTATAAAGAAAACACAGTAAATAACAATTTACCAACACTCAACTTCATATTATATAGAAGACTTGCTTCCCCGATTTACTTGAAGTCACCGCATCCTTCTCATCGCAGATGCATATGATCTTGCCTCTTGCTACTTGACTTGGAAAAATGATTCGATTATGATTTATTAGGTTGTTGCACAAGTTCTGTCCGATTTTTTTTGCCTCGTGTTTGAAGCAGCTGTTCTAACAGAATTGCATCTCTAATGCAGTATTGTTAGTATCACTAGAAAGTGTTTTTCTTGCGCTTTCCAAAGCATATCAAATTTAAATAAATTTTTTAGTGTAAGGAGATTTCAGGCCTAAAATCTCCAAGTGGCCGAGGTACGTTCTCACTCTAGAAATATGTTCTTGCGAGAAAATCTCCACAATGCGCCCTTCAGGTCAAGTTTTTTGATTGGTTACGGAATAAGGGTGTAATAAGTTATACGCATAACTTCAGTTTCATGAAGAAAACGTCTTGCTAGTAAAATTTATTGTCATTAATTTCCTGTGCAAATGTTTTACATGCTATAACTTTCTGCGAATAGAAGTAATCGATGACTTCAAAGTTGGAGGTGCTAGGGTAAAGAAAGAGCTAGCAAGGCCCATTTACCAATTCGTTTTCGGCGCTCACGTCAACTGCGTAACTCATAAATAGGCATGACATATGCGCTGAAGAGAGGTCAAAAAGTGGCTAATTTTTTGTTTGGTCAAAAAAATCTCTCGGCAACGCAGACCCTATGGGCTCTTTCTGTTGCAAAATAATATACGAAAATTTCTCTATCTGTCCATTGTTAGATAAGATGCCTACCAATTCTCATAAGGGAGCATTGCCATGTCAAAAAAGACAAGTTTGAAGGAAAACGTAGTAAAGTTTTTAAGTTTTTGCTTCTTCCTTAACAAGGATTTTCGCAAGTTCTAATATGTATCTGATAGCCAAGGAATTGCTCAACACAGGAAACTAAGGTCTTGGAAAAAAGTTGACTTTGAAAGAAGTTATGACATTTTGAACTCAAAAAATTCAAATCGGACAGAACCTATGCAACAACCTTAACACGCTTTCTGGGTCTGAGCAAACAAATCAATAAATCGATAGAAGGGCTCTGTAGATTGCCGCGAATTGGCCCATGACCTGCGCCATGATTTATATTTAATGGAGAAAATTCCAGCTTCAAAGTCTACCAAGAAATGTATTCCGAACATACATCTACTCAAAGATACATACTTTGAATCTTATATATAAAGCTGAATGTCTGTTTGTCTGTCTGTATGTATGTGTGTACGTATGTTCCGAATAGAAAATTCCATTTCTGAACCGATCCGGACCAAACTTGGCACACATACACTTCGGGCCCCGGCGGGTGTCATAGGCTACTTTTCATCATCGATCGATATCGATTTTATCGATTTTTATCGATTTTTTTGCTGAGTTCACCTACGGAGCTGGGAGTTGGCACAGGGGGGTAATCGAGCATGGGGATTCCAAATACAATATTGGTTTTTAGGATTATCGATTACTTTTATCGATTTTATCGATTTTTTTGCAAAGTTTGAGCTACGAGGCTGGGAGTTGGCACAGGGGGGTAATCGAGCATGGGGATTCCGAATACAGTATTGGTTTTCGGGATTATCGATTACTTTTATCGATTTTATCGATTTTTTTTGCAAAGTTTGAGCTAGGGGGCTGGGAGTTGGCACAGGGGGGTAATCGAGCATGCTGATCATCCCCAAGGGGGGTGATCAGCATGCTCGATTACACCCCTGTGCAAACTCCCAGCCCCCTAGGTCAAATTTTACAAAAAAAATCGATAAAATCGATAAAAGTAATGGACGATCTTGAAAACTAATATTGTATTCGTAATCTGCATGCTCGATTACCCCCTGTGCAAACTCCCAGCCCCGCAGGTCAAATTTTACAAAAAAAATCGATAAAATCGATAAAAGTAATGGACGATCCTGAAAACTAATATTGTGTTCGTAATCAGCATGCTCGATTACCCCCCTGTGCAAAATCCCAGCCTCGCATGTCAAAATTTACAAAAAATCGATAAAATCAATAAAAGTAATGGACGATCCTGAAAACTAATATTGTATTCGAAATCCCCATGCTCACTTCCCCCTGTGCCAACTCCTAGCCCTGTAGGTGAACTCTGCAAAAAAATCGATAAAAAACGGTAAAATCGACATCGATCGATAACGAAAAGTGGACTGTGACACCCGCCGGGGCCCGAAGTGTATGTGTGCCAAGTTTGGTCCGGATACGGCGGAGCCGGGTAAGCCAGCTAGTTTTATATATATAAGAGCAGGCGTCCCGGGTTTCACTCCGGTTTGGAGCCAATCTATCAGTCTAAATTCCCCACCCCGTACACCCTGCACACTCTGCACACCCTGCACACCCTGCCCACCTGCACACCCTGCACACCCTGCACATCCTCCACATCCTGCACACCCTGCACATCCTGCACACCTACACACCGTGAACACCCTGCACACCCTACACAACCTGCACCCGAATGCGTACAAACAAACACAGATTTTCTGCTTTATATATATAGAGATATATACCCTCGATATCATCCCATATGTCTTCCCTCAACATGACGTGGATTACGTGGCTTGATGAGGCGCCGCCTCGCCTCGGGCTTGCGCGACGTTGCGTGCGCATTTTCGGCGTGATGTGGCAACAAGAAGAACGTGGAGAAGGCTGCGCCACGTTGTGTTGAGCGCCACGTCGCGCCAAATGATGCGCTCGCAACGTGGCGCGAGCCAGAGGCGAGGCGACGCCTCATCAAGCCACGTAATCCACGTCATGTTGAGGGAAGACATATGGGATGATATCGAGAGTATATCATTCATTATGTTATCATACTAGCGTGTAGAGCGTAAAGGATATCCAGAAGACGAAGAATGCGGAAGCTAGAGTATAGCGATATGAGGAGTTTGAATAAGCAAACCATTGTAGCTCAAGAGAGAATGCACCTAACAGCAACGATTGGGGAAAGGTAGCAATGCTACCATTTTGAGAATGATCTCTCCAAGAGACAGACATTTTTTCGGCGAACTTTCCAGAAAGAAGAGATTGAAGAACAATAGACGAACACCAGACAAACTTCGGTCTACCTTTGAAATTTACCGCAAAACTGCGGTGAAGCATTTTGAAGGAATCTTTCCAAAAATGTTTCAAATCTGTAACTTGCTTTAGAATGCTTGCTTGCATTACTTTTGCTTTTGATGTTTTATCATTCCTTTCCATTTAGTTCGAGAAAAACGCTTCGAGAGGCAGAAGCGACCCAGGTGGTCCCACCCATTAGCGTGGATGGTTTGAAGGTGAAAAGTCTAACACTGGGCTTAAAGGCAGCGTCCAGGCAGATCTGGACTTATGGGGATTTTGTACTTTTGAGGCCTTAACTAAGGCACTGCCCAAGCTGCAGCACAGGTAACGCTCTAACAGCTGAGATATTCCCCTCGAAACTGGATCCCGCGATCGTATTCGCATGGATTCATGGCAGTTTTGCGCCAGGATCTACGCTTTGCGCCAAGAATCCATGCGAAATACGATCGCGGGGTCCAGTTTCGAGGAGAATATCTCAGCCGTTAGAGCACTACTTGAGCTGCTGGTTTGGCAGTGGCTTAGTTAGGGCTCCAAAATTACTATTTACGTGAGATCCCCATGTGTCCAGACTTGCCTGGACGCTGCCTTTAAGTGTGCCTGGACTTTCACAGATCCACCCTTCATTATGTTATTATGCTAGCGTGCAATTCAACATCTCCATTTACTCTGAGGGCCGTATTTAAGCGAGCTTCTATTTGCGAATCATTTACGTCGGTGGGAGGAGCCATCTGGATCTCCACTTTTCTTGGAGCCAATTTCCCGCTGGATATTTTTCCTGAAGCAATTTTTCCGCTTCGGTGCTTCGAAACTTATTTTTTGCAGCGGAAGTTGGACGATTACCTAGTTGTGGGCTCCACTATTATACAGCACTAAAATCTCAGTTTTCAATTTAAATGGACGGTGCCTTTAAGCAACGAAAAAGTTTTGATAAATTGCGCGTATACCCTAGATAGATAAAGTCGAATGCAAGAAATGCCCATATCGTTGTAAGCTGAACGCACGCGAACATGCCCACGTGCAGCCGATACTGGCGCTGTAATGACTCATGCGCGCGAATGTAAACGTACCTCGCTAGCCACCCCGTCAGCCGCGCTTCAGACATGCTCGCGCGTACAGCCTACCGCGAAATGGGTTCCGTGCAGTCGACTTTATCAGAGCACTTGAAAAAAGGGTGACATCTCATCTCAAGATGACTTAAAAACACATGACAATCTAATATATAAAGAATCGTAAGGTGCATTTAAAAATCATCAGATAGCGGGAAACCGAGCAGGTCCCGAAGAAAGCGCGCCTGCAACTAGCACCTTTGAGATTACTGGTTCGCTATTTGTAGTAAAAAGCATGTGGTGTATGCTCTCAGCTTCGAGTGAATATAACAGTAGTTTTATTCATGAAAAATTTCTTTTACTAACGTTTTCACTTAGCCAGAACGTCTACAGAGAAAACCAATGATAACACTTTGACCTTGAATCCTTAACTCCATTTTACAGTCATTGAAGTTGACCCTCTCATTCATCCACCTATTTTTGGAGCAGACTTGGTTCCTGCTTATGACTTCAAATGGGGTAAATCACTCACGTGAGTAAACCTTAGTTACTTTGATTGATTATGCAAAATCGTTTTTAACGAAGACAGGGCCGTAATTTAATGAGCATGACTCCCTAGTTATTAGGTCGGCACATAAGTTTTCAACTTCTTCCATTATTTCTCTTTCTGGACGTCATGCTCTCATTTTATAGAATGCTACAAGATTGCGTAAACCATTAATCTTTCAACAACATGATAGCAGAAATATTACCCTAATTTCCGGGGTATAAGGCGCAGTAGTTTTCACCGCGCGCGGACTGACGTATGATGACGTTCGCGATGCGCGGCGCCGCACAAGCAGAACAGTAACCTCTTTGACCCAGCAGTAGCTTTTTGCCCCCGTTGCTGTTTTCCTCTCAATAGTGATTTGTTTCAAAACAAATCTTCACCTTTTCTTTCACTCTTCACAGGGAAGACAGTTTCAGTACCAGCATTATGAGAAACGAAGGAAAGCACAAATGTAGCACCGGTAACATCATTCGAAACAAGAGAAAGAATCATCCAAACAAAATCAGAGAACACCTTCATCCCACCAGTAGAACCGATATTACATCACACATTCTGAGAAGAGTAATTGTACCTGAAATCACGATCTGTGCGCATTGAAGGATAACCACAGCACACTGAGTATTAAGCTTTTTCGCGCCATTGTTCGCTGCGGCGGGTGCGCCTTATACAAGGTGCACCTTATACCCCGGAAATTAGGGTAGTTCGATTCAAAAGTTCTATCGCTTTGATTTTGAAATATTCGTAATGCTCTCTATGAGAACATATTGACTTACAAAAATTACCTCCAGGCAGAAAAAATTCGTCTAATTTTGAATAGCACCTTCGCTGCTCTTTGAAGACAAAACACTCCAGAGATAAAAATTCAAATAGGAGAACCACTCAAAGTCGTGATTTTCAAAAATAAATCGTCAAAAATCCGAAACGCTGCAGAAAAGTCTAAGAGCATGTGTTTTGAAGTTACGTAAATGCTCTTTCTAATGGTGCCATTGTATGATGGGGTTTTTCTACAAAAAAAATTATGATTATCGAGAAAAATGAAAAAACAGCAAAAATTCTTTTATGCATTTGTCGCATTCTTCTCGAAAATCATGATTTTTATAAAAATCGATCAGCACGAACTTGGCATCGTTAGCAAGAGCAGCTCACAAAACGTTTGAAACACACATGCTTTCAGTTTATTCTGCAGCGTTTTAGATTTTTGACGATTTATTTTCAAAAATCACGAGTTCGAGTGGTTCTCTTATTCGAATTTTTATCTTTGAATTCTTTTGTCGTCAAAGAACAGCGAAGATGAGATCAGAGAGTAAATATATTTTTCTATATGGAAGTTATTTTGTAAGTCTACCTTACAAAGTCTACCTTAGTCTACCTTACCTTTGTACCTTCACATATGGAGCACTTACGAATTTTCATAATCAAAGCGACATTTTGAATCAACCTAATAAGCATTTTCTAAAAACTGATGAAAATAGAGGTTTTACGGTCTATTATGAACACGAGCATAATACTCATTTGGTACATATCTTAACCTTACGAAGGAAGCAAGTCCTTCATTGCGGAATGAGTATCAACTAAGTGATCAACATGGCAAATAATTCTCTTGATCAAGTTTGAGAGGATTCCAAAGCAATCAGCAACGGTTGAAAATGGAATATTCTATTCAGAACATAAGACAGAATACCGACAGACATTCAGGGCCGCATGCACTAACATCATTGCTGGGGAGGGGGTCGCAGCTTAGAAGAAAGCTTCATATTCTGAAGCTCCAGATATCTAAGTTTAACACTGTCTGCCTGTCTGCAGCTATTCCTGCTATCCTTCACTATGAATATATTGAACAGGAGTGAGAAGCTGTACAAGCCGCTTTTCCAGCTTTAGTATGATCCCTGATGATCCCCGCGCTTTTCTTCAAAGTCATTTTTCTTTCTTTGAAGTCAACGAAAACCTTCCAAAGTTGTACTGATTATCTAACACAACCGTGCTAAGCATGCTACCGATGGGAACAAATGAGTTTTTGAAAAACCGAATTTTTCGGTAGACCCGAAGTTTCGACTTGTGGTTCATCGCAAATTTCATGACCCCGATACATCACTTGTTCTTATCAGCAACATCTAAGCAGTGACAGGTCAAATAATCTGTACAACTTTGGAAGCTTTTCGTTAACTTTGGAGAAAGAAAAATGACTTCAAACAAAAAAGGGCCAGGGATCATCAGGGATCATACAAATGCTGTAAAATGCGGCTTGTTCAGCTTCTCGCTGCTGTTCAATGCGTTCATAGTGAACGATAGTAGGTATACTTACGGTTACATATGCAACGTGAAATCCAGATATTTGGAGCTTCAGAATATGAAGCTTTCTTTTAACCTGCGATCCCCTCCCTGCGGGGATGTTAATGCATGCGGCCCTCAGTTTATATTGAAGTTTCTCACAAGTTTTTTCAATTTTACTTTTTAATGCGATAAGTCACATACTTTTTAATTCGGAATAGAATGCAGGATACCTTTCGACAGAGCAAAGCAAGCTTCTATAAGAAGGCGTGTAAGTGTTCGCATCAGCTTCGATCCACATACGACAATCGCATATGCCGTTGCTGCGTTTGTCTCTGCGCTAGAAACCGAGAAAACTAAAAGTTTCAAGCTTTCAAAAAAGCAATGCTGTGCTCTTCTCACATAAGTAATTGTTATCACAAATATTTAGAAATACAAACACAGATTTCCAGCTTTTTATAAGCTTTAGTTTCCAAGAAATAATGGTTCTGACATGAAATACCCTAGCAAAATGAGCTAAGTTTGGTATTTCCCATAAATTGGCGCTTCTAGGAAGCTGCAAATTTACCGATGTGCTTCTAAAGGTTGTAGTATACATTGCCTATGTGGGAACGGCTAGCACTGCTTTTTTGGAAGCTTGAAATTTTTCAACTTTCTCGGTTTCTAGCACGGAAACAAAAACAGCAGCGGTACAAATGAATGTCTTATGTGGAGTGTTTTGAGCGTAAGCAAGTTTGGAACCTGGTAAGCTTTCTTTGGACGAAAACATAAAAAATTTCAAATCATTCGGGCATGAAAGTTCTCATCGGCTTTTAACTCGTGATGTGCTGAAGTTGGTGCGAACACTCACATGCCATCTTACCGAGCTTGCTTTGCTCTATCGAAAGGCACCCATCTTATGTACAGTGTATATGATTCATATACACTGTACATAAACTAAAGTCTTTCTTTTCTAAAAGCTTTTTTGCCTAACCTTAGGTACCATTTTGTAGAGTGGCTTCAACTCAGATTAACGATCTGGAGCGAGTCACCGCTCTCTCCTCGTTACTATTTAATTATGGTAGGAACTTCAAGAAGGGTTTTGAGCCAATGAGGGTCTTATTTTGCTTCGGATAGCAAACCAAAGAACCTGGAAACTTTTACACTAGGCTTGGAGTCAGCGTAACTAAAAGTGAACTTTGCCAATTTACCGCAAAGGTTCTTTCATAACTTGTGCCAGGTGAACTGCATTAGCTGTCATTACAAGGCGCCCTAGAATTGTGATTACACCATTTTAAAAGCTTTACAAACACCTAAAAAGTTGAGTAATGAAGTCCTCGCGCGGTGAACACCACTTTTCAGAATTTTTGGAAACTTTTTTTGAAACACGACTAATCCGTTATGATGCAATTAGCTGAAACTTCCCAACGTAATTCTACAGCAATGAAGGAAGATCGGTGGTCCGCTGGATACTGTGTATCTAAGTTAAAGCCGGCTCTGCAAAATGGTACCTGAAGTTAGACAAAGGACTTCTTCGGAAGAGAGTTATCAACGATCAAACAGTGTATACATAAATTCAATGATAATAATAATTGATATAATAATAATAATAATTAATATAATAATAATAATAATTAATATAATAATAATAATAATATATTAATATTAATTAATATAATTTGTTTGCACGGGTGCACAAGAACGACTCGAGTCCCTAAATTTGGCTACACGAATTGCGCATAGTAATGGTTACTCACCACGACTTCAACATGCCTCAAGGCATGCAAACGTTAGCCACACTCGCGACAATGCCAAGGTATCTTGTGCATTCCTTTTATTTCCGATCAAGTAAGTGCAGCAATTAAGCGATGCATAGCTCGAGCACAACTGCAAAATGATGTTATGCTTGTGAACATCCCGAATGAAAGCATCAAAAAGCAGTTGGTAAGGAACAGGCTTTACGATATAGAATGTCCAGCGGAGCATTGCATTGTCTGCCCGTATGGGAAAATAGGTGATTGCACAAAGGCAGGAGTAGTGTACCAATTAGAGTGCTTGAGCTGTAGGGCAACATATATCGGAGAAACGGGTAGATTGTTGAATGTTAGACTCAAAGAGCATTTGGCAGTTAAACGACGAGCAAGTGCGATGTCACCGTTAGGAAGGCATAGAATTGAAACCAACAACGGCAGTGATTTTGACGTTAAATGTACTATCTTGTCACGCGAAGCAGAGGTTTCAGTGAGGAAGACTATTGAGGCAGCGTGGATCTCTCTGAGAAATCCTAGTATGAATAATAGAAATGAATGCGTATCAATAACAGCCGAACTCTTGCCTATTTTAACGATTTGTGAACGATAGCCTGCACCTACATATATATAAGTGTAGATCGCTGAGCAAGACTCAGTCTAGTCCGTCTCTACTGTGCGGCTAACTTGACTCTACTGACTCTCACTAACACCTGGAAAAGAGGTACGTTTCTCATCAAAGTGTCTCAGTACGTTGCGTACGGGAGGGATCTAGACTCGGCAGTGCGGGGAGGCGTTTGGCGGTCTGATCCCACTGATAAAACACTGCAATCTACTTTCAGGCCTCCGACGAAGACGATTTTGTCGAAACGTAAGGCCAATAAACATTCCACCGTACAAACCTGGCATTGGCGTAACATCATATGACAATATTACTAGTGTATACATACTTTTGGGACACCTTGTACAAGATCACAGCTTGACGTTTCGACGCCTTTAGGCGCCGCCGGAGATAGCAAACACAAAAGCCCTCTCTACTGCGCATCAATGTGAAAACTTCAGAAAAACTCACTCATATCTTCCATTATGCTCTAATGATATAGGTCTGGGTTTATCTTTGTCCGCCAACACTACGAACATGGACAACCACAAAACGGCTTGTATTCGGCGGTCGGAATCCCAATGGCTTCTCTGCTATCCAGATCGTTTGGGGGATCCGGGTACGATATCTAACTTGCTTACTGAAGGCACACTCAAGGTTTGCAATTAAGGCCCAGACTAAACTACTACGGTCATTTATATCAGGACAACCATTTTACGGCGTATCATAATCGTCATTGTAAATTTCTTGGCAGCTTCATGTTTTTCAACCAATATGCTTATTTGAATGCAAGTACCTTCACAGAGACAATTCTTTGATTTGATAGCGTAAGTTTCAGTGGACACCAGCAACATTGCCATCAGTGGAACTTGAACTAAGCAAAGCAACAAGAAGTCGCTTCTTCAACCATCTCCGTTTCCATAAGTTCGATATACTTTTGTGCAAACATAAAGCACAGCTGTCTTTTCTGGCCATTGCTGCAAATCATATATAAGAGCACTTTGCGGTGATTTTGGCATAATTGACGAATTTAGGAGAATGTCCTATCCTCATGCGATACATCGCTCGCAAAGGCATAATATATTTCGCAGTTGGATTCGAGCGTTCCCGGCAATAATACGTCAGCAAATTTTGTCTAGTAATGAGAGAATATGAATGATAATTTTGCTTCTTTCAGTGAATTACGTCGCCTTGTGCATCATTGTTCTTTGCATTCAAACATGCCTACATTGGCATGAAAGGAGAGAAGCTCGACGAGCTGGTCTTAGTCATTCACGTTCGGCGAATACTTTTTGAATGGAGAATGTCTCAACTTTTGTTCTAGCTTTAGTTTTTAGAAACTACCATAATTCAAATGAATAAATTTTTTGTAATCATTCTTTCACCGATGAAGTGTTTTAGGGCTCTTCCAAACTCAAGATTATAACACAATAAAAATCTGTTGTTGCAAATTGCGGCAGTCAGCCTTGCGTATTTCTGACAGTAGCAAGTAACAAATGTGAAAAAATGAGAAAAATTGCAATGCAATATCTGTTAGGTTGGTCCATAAGTCTTGCATCATATCAATTCTTTACGCAATAAGTCAAATCCTTTCTACTTTCTACATAGGTTTTGGCATAACATCCGGTAGGCAAAAGCTTTACAAGTTAGCATCCAAGTATTTGCACCAACTTTATACGCGAGTGAATCCAGAAATCAAAAGTCTTCAAGAGCTTGAAAAATCAAAGGAATCTATAACTTCTGTCCGAAAAATCTTACAAATCTCCCACTTGCCTAAACGAATACATGAGACCTTCACACATACAGTGCTGCATAGTTCCCTTGCCAAAAATCAAATAATTCAAGAATTTTTGTGCATTTTTTAAATCAATGCTGATCGTAGCTGATCCCCCAATAGTGGTTGTATATTACGAGCCTGCAAAGGTACGATTGTGAATTCTTAATCTTCTACAAGATCGATTTAAAAAAAATTGAGTTTTGCCTCTCTTATCCGCCCTCTTTGTAGAATTCAACGTTTCTCGGGAATTAGTTCTCGTGTGGGGCTTTACGATTGTACTCTGCAAGGAAACAGCCTAGCATTCTTTTGTGCTTGAAAATTCTCGAATTTTGAAAATATGCAGGGCATTTTGTAAGGCCCAGAATTTTTTCATGGGCCGCGGGCGTTCTGGTGAAACAGTAAGGGCCAGGGCCCGGCACGAGGAGGGCAGACGGGGTTTTCCAAAACGAATTCCCCTTTGACCCCAATAGTTTTTACGAATACACCCTTGAGCCCAAAAATGACGCTTTGTGCTTGTGGAACGAGAGCACCGGCCACACTTCGCCTAAAAGCGCTCAAAAGCGCTCAAAATGCTCAAATTTCTCTAATTACTCCTCACCTGTATCAAGATAGAAAACAGGAAGAAGAATAAGCAAGGAAAATGATGAAGGAATGAAAAAATATCAAAGGAACGCAGTCATAAGACTGAGAGACGCCGCTCCCGCGCGTATCGATTAACTGGGGCGCGCTTTCCATCTTAGAAAGCTAGGCTGCTGATGCGATTTTGGGCTCTAACAAAGACAAGAGGAGGAGTTTCGGAACCAAAATCTCACCATATAGTAAACTTTAGGTGAACAACAGATTTATGTTAAAATTTTGAAAAAATTATGTGAACTGAAAGTTTTGCCCACCTCAGGTGGGCATTAGGTGGGCAATTACCCTATTTTCAGGTGTATAAGCCGCACCCTTTTCAATCTAAAGGTGAACACGCCAAAAGACTGACTGTTATCATGGAGCGCGTTAAGTGAGAACATATGCGATAAGGCGACCGCTTCGCGAGACATATGCGCGGCGGCACGCCTGGGTCTGCTCGCGTTTAGAGCGAAAAGGGTGCGGCTTATACACCTGAAAATAGGGTACCCACTTAATTTGGAAACAAGTTGAGCACGCTCTTCATTGGCATAAGTTTTCCATAGTTTTTCATACATAGTTCCTTAGTCCTACTGCGCGTATACACACCAAGTCTCGCGCGATTTCGTTTTCTCTGCGCTGCAAACGAGCCATTTTTCCATTTTTTGATAATGGGAAATTTTTAGAAAAAAGCTTGCCACAACCTTCATTCACATAATTTTTCAATAAAACTTCTAAGATAAGCCCTGCAGGTCTGTGTTCATGTACCTACCAAGTTTCGTACCGTATGGTCATCTGTGCGTTGCAAACGAGCCATTTGAATTCACATCTTCATTTACCAGTTTTGCGAAATTTTTGGAAAAAATGCTTATTACACCTGCCCTTCACATAAGTTTTCATAACATTTCATGCTTTGTTTCTACTAGCCTCTCTTTGTTCGCTTACGTAATTTGGTGCTATATCATTACGCCTGCATTGAGAACTGATCATGTAATCATGCTGTTCAACGGCATAGCTCATGCGACGTCGCGCACGCGGCAATAAGCGGCAACGCGGCGTAGTGCGCGCGAAGTTTGCTGTGCGTTGAGGTCTATGAAAACTATTTTCGATGAATTAGATGTATAAGGTAAGCATGATTCGACATTCTTTTGCTTGCACTTGGAATCTTCTTCCGCGGCTCCGCCCCGGATCCCGCAAAAACGATATCCCCTCTGCTTTTTGGCCCCAAAACAATTTTCAGCTTGTCATTTGCCCACCTCGTGCCGGGCCCTGGTGAGAGCCCGCGATAGCATCGAGCCGCGAGTTGCCAAGCAAATAAAGCCTGCTGCATGACGAAGGCGCAATATCTTTGGGCGCGAACGCGGCTTTATTAGCTGCAGAGCGCATGAAACGCAGGATTTACAACGGTGAAGATACGCCATCACGGCTCAGCTAATATTGCTTCTGCGCCTTCGTCATGCGGTCCTTTGAATCTAAGCCGCTGGTCAATCTGAATATTCAAGATCCACGCAGTGCCAAAAGATAAGGTCGTCATGAGCCGCTGATGCTTAGTAATTGTCTGCGCTGGCATGAAAAGAGGGAAGCTCGACGAGCCTGTTGCACTCATTCACGTTCGGCAAATACCTTCTAGATAGAGAATCTTAAAGTTTTGATTATTGATTCATTTTTTGGAAACTACTATAATTAAGTTGAATAAACTTCTATCACTGTCTTATCGAAGAATTGTTTCTTATTGTTAGTGCATTTGCTAACTATCCCGCTGTTTCCTAGATTAACATAGCAAAATTCGTGTTATGGTTGCAGTTCAAAGCCACCGAGACTTTATCGACAGTAATGAGCAAAAGGTCAAGTTATTAGATGTGCGAAAGTTCTTGCCATTTGTCAGATCCATAATAACTACACATGGCATAATAAGCAAAAGTTAGAACACATATTGAGACAACTTCTTCCTTTTCTCAGCAGTTATGTTTTTCAAGTGATTACTATTGCGGTACACTGGTTTCAAACCTATCTCTAAATTTGCTGTGCAATAATCTTTAAAAAGTTATAAGCGTTCCTGCCATAAAATGCACGCTGTTTATGTTTACTAAAGGCCTCTCATAGTGATAGATGTCAATTTCAGACTACACAACATCCGAAAAAGATTTGAGCTCTGGTGCCTGTTTCAGATATTTTGGATCCTACGAGTTCACAACCAAATCCCAACTGACTAATCTCAATCCCGACGATTCTGACTAACGTCAATCTTGTAAAATCAGCATATGAAAATGTCTTTGGCTTGTCTTAGAGAGTTGCGCAATACATATTTAGCATAAATTCAAAATCAGCGTTCAATGATGACGATACCAACTTCTTGTTGGATGGCAGGAGTGGAAGGGCAGTGAAAACTGCATCCGGGGGTTCTACCTCAACCAGATGATCGCACTTCATATCAGGTAAACCAACAATTCACAATTCCTTCCAGATGGCACTGTACTTTGACCGTTTCGTTCGGTGAAGATGGCTTCTATATCGTCTGTCTGGCAGTTCAGCGCTACGGGACTATTTTAAAAACAACACATACACGAGAAGAAAAGCGATTTCGCTAAGAATTATATGCGTATGCTGCATGTGTCCAGAAATAAAGCAGATATATCGTAATAAGAGGGGGTCTCGTGGTAGATTTGTTATTTAAGTGCACCATAGGGACGACAACATACCATGCTAGTAAAGCACAATTGCTTACGGCAGTTAAGAATTCATTGAAGCTATGTAATACATAGCCATCCACAAATAGGAGTATTTTCAGTGTAGAAATCAAAAAGCATATAATGGAAGAAATGATGTCAACAACAAACGGATATGTTGTGAATTCAATTCTCTTGCATTATAGCTCACGCTACAACATGAAGCGTGGAAACAAATGTAATAAAACAGTAAGCGAAAAAAGAAGATTAGTGAATGGGTATTCTGATTTTTGTGTGCTATTTTACAGTGATTATAGCATATGATTACAGACACTTAAAAAGATTTTAAAGCTGGGTGCAATTAAATGCTTTGAAGATTTTTATTTAACATTCAACAAGTTATACAATTGCACAGTGTAAGGAGATTTTAGCAATCTAATCGTTACAAATTATGCCCATTTTATTTCAAGACACATATAACATTTTAGCGATCTTTTTTCGAAAATACGAAAGTTTGCATATGATTGTCATCTCGAGTGAGTCGAAGCAAAGCGAGGAATAAACCGTAGTTCTTTTCGATAGTCTCGTTCCACATTTTTTCTCCATTCTTCCAAGTACCGCTCGATGACTTGCTCATCAGTGATCAAGTCTGTTTCGTAGTTCCATATTTCGTCACCTTCAAAGTATAATTTAGTGATTAAACAGCTGCATCTCTATTTGTCGTTTCTCTTCACGATGGAGGTTGCAATGTTTTCGATAAGAGTACCATCTCTAGGCAGACAATGTCCGCATATGCGTAAGTTTCATAAAAAAATGGATTGCCACATCTATTCTCAATGTTTTGTGCTCACTTGCACTAAG